TCAAGGGATTCCATCCAACCAAACGCCACATTAATTCTTGAGGCATATATATCTTTTTTCACTTTTTTCTAAATGACAGTAAAACAATTTTTTTATAAAAAATAATCATAGTTATAATAAGGGGCAAAAGTGTCAAAATAATGATGTGGGAATTTTTAATTCCCAAAGTAATGTAGTCATCCGATTAATTCTTGATATAGGGTGTTTTCTACAGGGTTTTGGGATTTCTCGACGTTTTCAGGGGTGTTCATTGTTAGATGGATTTTTAGGCGTCTTTAATAGGATTCCAGGAAAATTTTTTTGGCTATTTTACACAAATATTACCTTAACAAAAATTAATTACTTATTAGGCACTGTTTAAAAATATTTTACGGATCTAGCATATTTTTAAATACTTTCTATAAAATTATTCATGCATTAAATTACATAATACAATTATATCTACCAATTACCACTTGACACTTTCTGATGCGTTTTTGACCCTTTCAAAATCCTATACGTATAGTATATTCTAGGAAACTTTGAGGGTAAGTAATTTAAAATATAAATAATTTTATAAAATATTACATATCATCATCATTTTGAAAATAATTTTGCAGAAAGACGCGGTACATGTACTGCATAGGATTTTGAAAAATATTTATAAAAATTTTATAACTAATATTTATTTTTTAAAATCCTATACGGTGAATGTGTCGCGTCTTTCTGAAAAATTATTTTTCAAAATCCTAGAATATACTATACGTATAGGATTTTGAAAGGGTCAAAAACGCATCAGAAAATGTCAAGTAGTAATTGGTAGACATAATTGTATTGTGTAATTTAATGCATGAATAATTTTATAGAAAGTATTTAAAATATGCTAGATCTGTAAAATATTATTAAACAGTGCCTAATAAGTAATTAATTTTTGTTAAGGTGATATTTGTGTAAAAATGCCAACTTTTTTTTTAAAATGCTAAAGACGCTGGGATTTCCACAATTGAATTCACCCAAAGACGCCGAGAAATCTGGTCCACCCTGAAGACGCCGAGAGATCCTAAAACCCTGTAAAAAACACTCTATATCAAGAATTAATCTGGTGACTACATTACTTTGGGAATTAAAAATTCCCACATCATTACTTGGGCACTTTTGCCAATAATAAGGTAATATTTATTCATATTTTTTCTTAATAATTGACAATATATACAGACTCTACAAATGTAACTGTTTAAATCCAAAAATTTAAAAAAAAATAACATTGTCTTTAACTACTGAATCTACTCACTGAGTTCCATATTTCATTAAAACAACTATTTTAGATGGTCGGTTCAAAACATATCTTATCTGTTCCCTATTCTTTTTGCTATCCCATGAGAATATCTGACGACAGATATAAAGGTTCAGAAATATTGAAACTAAGGATGTCTGATACAAAGTCAAGGGATAATGAGAGAAGAAAAAAACGGATATTTGCAAGATTTGAGCTGCTAAAATGGAAGCATGTACCATGTTGCTTAGTCATATCATGTTTCAGCAACTGTGAAAAGCAATTGAAATCAACTGGATCACTGTAATCTATAGTAGAGGAATCTATCTTTGATAATTCTTGGCTCCTGTTTATTGCATCTTAATGACTGCTTTTTTTTTCGAGAGAGAGAAGACGTTAAACAAATGGAACACCTTTGATCCATCACACTGTGCGTATGGTAGTGGAAGCTGACGGTCTGTTTTCCCACGCAACAAATTGAACACCTTAACTCTTGTTGATCTCGAAATAATCCAAGAGGTTGCTGCCAATATAACACCATTGATTTTGGTTTTATATGTGAATGAACAATGTACAAAATTTGATATTTTCAGGTTAAAATCAATGTAAAGAGTAACAGAAGCTAAGTATAGATGGATGGTGAATGCCCCCACTGTGCCTCTGCTTAACAATGATTGCAAAATTTGTCAGATATTCCTCAGCCATATCTACAATGACAGCATTCTCTGATGCAGATTCTACATTTATTTGTGTCTTTACTTTAAACCCAAAGTTAGAAATTAGTGTGTGACAATAAATAACATGTTAAAAGGTTGGAGGAGCTGAAATGGCAAATTTTCACTTCAAATCCATAAAAAAAAATGGTTGAAGCAACACTTAAGCATAGCAAGGGAAGCGACATGTTCATGATTTCTACATTGAAGATTCAAAAGCGTAATAATTAAATGGTCACAAAAGGATTAGAAATTGAAGCAATGAGAGAGGAAGTTTCTGCGTGTGAATTCCATGCAATAATGATGGCATTTTCCAATCAATTCTTAAAGTGTTGCAGAACTCATGATGATAGAGTGAGGCATCAGATATTTGGTGGTCCCCTTGATGTCTGCATCTATCCTATTCCCTCTTTGATTATCATTCATGGGTGTTTGAAACTTGAGGGGAATGTTGTTACAGCTCAAACTTAACCATCCTTCACCAAACTTTGTTATCATCAATTTTCATTTATCCTTTTTGTTTCTCAACAAATCTCAGTTCATTTATCCTTTTGTTTCTCAACAAATCTCAGTGCTTGAATTTACAAATGCCCACATAGCCAAAGAAAAAGTGAAGAGAGACCCCAAGAAAGGGGCAAGGAAAGAGTTCACTGCACTAAACTTTCTGAAATTGTGGTTCAAATTTTAAATTGAACCTCAAACTTTAAAACATTCTACTTGAATTCTCAAACTTTAAAACATTCTAGTTACCTCCTCAAAATATCAAAATCGTTTCAATTAAATATGTTTTTGTCAAGTTAACCATAAGCTTCCGCGTTAAATGCTAGCTTAGTTCTAACATAGGGCACATTTAAAATACACGACTTAAATTTTAAACATTGTACACCCAGTGCATGGATAACTTTAATCTTATATGTTAAAAAAATAACCCTGAAAGTTTTATTGACAATCTTCCTTTTGAAAATGTCATTCAAAATGTCCATGGTATGCCCATATGTATAAAATCTGATCCATCTAAATATATTCTATGTTAGATCCAAGTTGTCATTTAATGATCAATTTAAAATCTAGACGTAGTTTGGGTCATCTAGTACAATTAATTCTTTCAAATATAATGATGTGTGAAACACAGTTTTTGAGTGAGAATCGTCCTCTACTACTTTGTGAATAAAAGCTGACCCAAATTTACTTGAGGCGTGTTCTTAATTTCTTTTTAAACCAGCTATTGGAACCAAAAACACTTGGATGTAACACCCTTGTCCGTCCCTGATATTCTATGGAATATCAGATGCAACATTTAGTGATCAGGAGAGTCATTACGAACAAGTAAATGAATATCATAGTCATAATTGTAGGATTTAGAAATCAGAGACTAATTCAAAATATTTGATAACTGTGAAAGGGTACTTATCACTTTTACAACTAATTGGAAATCAATTAACTAAATGGTGTCTTACAAAATAGGGGTATCGATAGTAGGATAAAGGTATTGATACCCTTACTGTAACAATCCAAAATTTAGATTCAACGTTTGTATGTTGACTCGAATTTGTGATAATCCGAATGGTAAGCTCAATTGAGCTTATTCAGCCAATATTAGTCTTATTTGAATGAGAATTGGACTCGAGTAACGTTAAATGGGAGATTTTTAAGCTAAGGATAAAACAATGAGAGTTTATGAGGAATTTTACCCATTTGTGGAAAAACAAGATTGCACAAGCACAACTAGGGGTGTAAATGAACAGAGCATTCAGCGAATTGTTTATGAACTGTTCGTATAATGTTCGTTTATGTTCATTCGTTAAGCTAAATAAACGAGTATGAACAAAAAAAATATGTTCGTTTGATAAACGAACGAACACGGACGAAAGTATATTTGGTTCGTTTATGAGCTCGTTTATAAGCTTGTTTATCGACTCATTCATTTATGTTCATGAATAAGCTCGTTCACATGGTTCACTTTTTTCTTTTTCTTTTTTTACATTTTAAATATTGGTGAAGATAGAGACAAATTGAACACATGATACAAGTTGAGATTTATATTGTGGATTTTAAGGAGTTTAATCACCGGGGGTAATCTCATCATTTTTCTTTAGCTTTGCAAATGAAAGGGTAAAACTAAAAATTGAATATATAAACGAATGATAAACAAACACTAAACGAATATGTTCATAAACACAAAATGAACACGTTTGCGAACATGTTTTGCGAACATTAAAAGAACATGTTCGCAAATAATAAACAAAGAAACGAACACGAACATAATTTTATTCGCTCAAGTTTTATTCATTTACACCCCTATGCACAACTAGTTTGGGAATACTTCTGAAAATGGAAAAGTGATTTTTTCACTCATAAGCAATACTAAACACTTAAAAAATAATTTAAAATTATGATTATAAAAGTGATTTTCAACTTAACCTCAAAATCTCAAATTTGTACGGTGAAAAATCACTCCACATTTGGAGTGATATTTTATTTTTATCCTAAATTATTTAATTTTAATTAATTTTTAAATTAATACACATACAAATATAATTATTTATTAATTGTTTTATATTAATGTTCAGATTGATTGGTAGATATAAATTTATAGAACTTTATTTATTTTTTTATGTATAATCATCTATATATTTTCATTGAATATAAAATATTATAATTTTATAGTATTTATGTCGAGTATACAACAATTAATATTATGATATTATTTGATTCCAATTTAAATAATTTTTATAACCATATACAATACATATATATTTTTCATATAAGATATACATAAAACATATATAGCGGAAAGACTAATCTTAAAAATCAATCCATCGATTACTAAAAATTTCAAGTTATTCAAGTTGTAGTTTATAACTCGATTTGAACTTAAAAATATTCGAGCCAAGTCAAGTTTATAAAATTATAACTTGAAGTCAATTCAAATCAAGTTTTTCAAGTCGAGTAAAAAAATTATTTTTTCGGATCGAATCGAGTTTAGTTGACCCCCACTAACAAATACGTATAGAAGCCACTAATGACTAACCATAAAATTCAAACATGTTACCAACTGAAATTTTATTCATACAAACCAAAATACCCAGTTGCTATAGAGTTTCAGCACTTGATTCATGATACATGGAACTTTCTAGTGCACAATAATACTAGCATCAAACAAATATATCTTATAATGTAACCAAAGGTAATTAACTTAGTAAAAAGTTGACTAACAAGAAACAAACATGATGATGCCATGATCTGCAACAGCTTATAGTCAAAATCTACTCATAGATCCAGGGGTGAACACTGCTCTGCCAGTTAACAGGGCTTTCTGGAAACCACAAACCAATTTCCTTCCTTGCACTCTCAACTGAATCACTTCCATGAATCACATTCCTGCAGAAAGGACAGCAAAAAAATCAGCATATTGATATGAATTATTGCCGGATCAAGGAAATAACAAAAATGATATGCCTAAACGAACCTGCCAATGTCGATTGCAAAGTCACCACGGATTGTTCCAGGAGCAGACTCAGCAGGGTTTGTAGCTCCAATAATCTTTCGACCGGTGGTAACAACATTCTTACCCTCCCAAATCATAGCAACAACGGGACCAGAGATAATGTACTCTACGAGACCGTTAAAGAAGGGCTTTGCGGAAAGATCCGCATAGTGCTTCTCGGCAAACGATTTATCCACAGTGATGAGTTTCAAACCTAAATTAGGCACATCCGAAGTGAAAGGTAAAGATTCCACCAAAAAGCATATAGTGCAACTAATCTCAGGAAAAGAAAATTCAATTTGTCTGTTGAATTCAAGTATTACTGAATTACTGTGAACATTGAAAGCATCTCTACGGCGCTTAAAAACCAATTCTTGGAAACCAAGGAATAGCAGAGAGAAAACTATCAGGAAATTGACGAGTTCTGGGATTTAAATGAATAGCAGCCATTATATAGCACCGCAAAATGCAACACAACTGGCCGCAGTCGTAATAAACACAACGCAACCAAAAATACGACAGCAACCGCCAATTTAAATCCCTGGAGTTTACCTTTCAAATAGAAGCCTTTCTTCTCAAATCTTCCAATGATTTCACCAACCTGAAAGACAAAAATCTCGTTAAGAAATACAGTTTTCTTCTTCTTTTTTTAACCCGCAACCCATTTTTTAGTCTTAGCATGCCAAAAAAAAAAAGATTAAAACAAAACTAAAACAACATTCGTATGCTACCCAGTAGAGAAGATTAGCCAAGTTGGACATATATTCTCCCTGGATACATTAGATCTACGAACTTAACTAAAGAGTTGACTAAGTTGCATACAACTGAAATCGAAAATGAGTTGTTCTAGTTAGAAAATTCAAAAATCAGTCCACCAAGGTATTTTCTTATTTTTTTAAAATTTATAGCAGTTAAGGGAGTTGAAGATTCGGATAAAATTAGAGGTGGAAGAAATTAAAATTGAAAGAGCGGAAGTAGAAGCATTTACCAAGCCCCTTTGGACGCCATCAGGCTTGATCATGATGAACGTTTGTTCCATCTTTTTCCTTTCTAAACGTCTCAGTGCTGCTGCTTAATGCTTATGCGAGAAACAAAAAGTTTATGGTTTTATATAGTACGCGGCCGCAACCCAAGTTTCGGCCACACTTGCATCTCAGCCCTAAACCTTAACTTGGGGTGTTTTGTGTCAAAGTGCTGCTGTAATTATTTTTGTTTGGGGGTAAACTACGCAAACAGTCCCTTGACTATAGAATAAATTTTTTGGATCTCAAAAAATTATAAAATAATCCTTTGATTTAATAAAATTAATTATTTTCTATTAAAAAATAATTAGTCGATTTTTTCAAAGAGTTAATCGATCGTTTTTATGCATAAAAGGTACGTTTCCTTAGAATTTTGGCTTCTTTCGTCTATTACGAAAAATATCCCACTGTTACCTACCGTAGGAGTTTGAGTTGTGTATTAGTCCCAATATGGCAGATCATACTCTCAGACCAGCTACTTATCATCGCCTTGGTAAGTTATTGCCTCACCAACTAGCTAATCAGACGCGAAATCCTCTTAAGGTGGATTCCTCCTTTTGCTCCTCAATCTACGAGGTATTAACAGTCGTTTCCAGCTGTTTGTTTCCCTCCCAAGGGTAGTAGCTAGTGAGCCGGTCTAATTTTTAAAATGATCAATCCCTTGTATCATAAATGTTGTTTCTTTGTAGATAATATAGAGAATTCTAATGAATTAGAGTAATTTTTAGTGTGAATGCTAAGATAATAAACATATATTTCATTTAGAAGTTGTACCAATCTAAATCGTCGATACGAAATTTTCCATCTTTCAATTACTTTCACTATAGCTTTTTAAAGGTGAATTAATATTTTTTAACATATTTAGATCGATCAAAATCGAACACGTTTTTTTAGGTTTTGTGGATTGTTGTGTAGTACAGGTGTAATGTGCTAAGCCAAGAAAAGAGAATGATTAGCAGACGTAATATATCCATAAAAGTTTAATTCTGGAGTCGAAGAAAAAGCCTTAAGCACTAAAGATTTAAGAACTCATAAATCATGACGAACCTAAATCGATGAACAATCACCATAACAACACTCGAAGAACTCATAAATCATGACGAACCTAAATCGTGACCAATTGGGTGCTCGGCCTTTTGCGGAAACAAGGGGTTTTGGTCGTAGGTGATTGGTTGAGCACACATCATTGGATGATTGACCAATTGACGATGGTGGTTGTAGTTACCGTGACAAAAGATTGAAGTTATGGGTTTTAAAAGTTTTTGAGTTTTTTGTAATTTTATAAAATTTTGGGTTTTTTCTTTTAAAAATTATAATTTTCTAATTTTCTAATTTAAATAAAAATTTTAAAATTTTATAAAGATGATATGAGTTCTTTAACCGTAAAATTTAACGATTGTTCTAGAATGATAACATTTATAACGTTATATATAAATTGATCGAAAAAAAATTAAAACACCATTTAAAAAATAATATATATATAATTTAAACACTTATTTTTATATTAAATAAAAATAAATTGAGAGACAACCTAAAGACGGTGAAAAGCCGAAACGGAGAGAGACAATAATTAAACAGCTCAAAGGTCATCACCCAACACTGAGTTCATATCGTTTAAATTACTGGGATAATGTTATATTTGGTACTTATACTTTAAAAAAAATATTCAATATAATACGTATACTTTTAAAATGTATAATTTGGTACTTGCACTTTGACAAAATATCTGATATGATACCTGTACTTTTAAAGTGTTTGATTCAAGCTTAAGGGAACAGCAATAGCCATCATTCTTGGAAGAAAACCCAACTATTCCAGAACAGAAGTGAGCAGTGAGCAACAACGGTAAGATCACAACATAACAATAGGGGGCAATGCCTACAAAACAGGGAACCCTGAAATATACATGAAACATTGAATTCAGCGAGATCCTTTGGCAATAGGAAACCAGATCATTCGATCTCATTTCCTGCCTACAATTTAAAGAACATAAAAGTCCAATAAAACCCATGGAACTCATAATTGGGGTTCTAAATAAATCTCACTGGCTCCCCAGAGTTGGGAACTGCCCAGGGTCTCCGATGGATGGTGTTTCAGCATTTCTTACTGCACCGTCTCCACCAAACCCTTTTGAACCACGACCACGTCCTCGTCTACTTGGATTATAGCACCTCTCCCCTTCAGCGGGCTTCAAAAATTCATTAATGCTGACAGGCTACCACCACCATAAGAATAGGGACCATCAGTATTCAGTACATGCCAGAAAAGACATTACGCGAGCAAGAGATAAATTTCCACAGAGCAGTAAAAAGAGAAGGGAACACATATGCAATCTTTTTTAACCATGGGATGGAAGAAAATAACTACGGGGGAAATCTTAAATCATGGAAGTTTGAAAACAATATAAATTAAGGTTCCCTAAATACAGAATATCTGCACAGTTAAGGTGCAAAACGTGGCACGAACCAACGAACTCCAATAGTCTCTCGAAAACTGGAAAAGAAGGAAAGCTATAATACAAGTCAATAGAAAGTAAAAATACCTTTTTGCTGTCTCTTCCTTCTCATACGCCTCTTTTCTTTTATCTTTATCAGATCCCTAGACAAGGCAATTATAGGTAACTAAAGACTAATGCATGTTTCCCACAAATATGCTGAAAATCATTAATGATAGACTTGTAAAAGCAGATCACTGTCTCTTACCAATTTGATGAAGACCTCATCGTTACATTTCTTGTTTGAAAGCTGCTGCATAGACTCGAACTCCTTGGCATCTACTTTTCTTTCCTCAGTCTGCAGAGCCTTCCGCTTCTCTTCGAGCACCTTCTCATACTCCTCAAGAGTCATCTCCTATAAAAATACAATATCAAGAGTAGCACAAAGTAATAGCCAAATTAGTAGCTTTCATTTATAATTAACAAAGGTTGCAGACATCAATAACCATTTACCTTATCATCGGGCTCTTTTTCCTTGGGTTTGTTTGCAGCACTCTCCTTGTTTGCATCTCCTCCCTCCTCTTCTTTTGCTAGCTTTTTATCACCTAAACTCCTCTCACCTTCATTGGCAACTTCTTCAGTCACCCTGAAAAACAAAAATACAATATTTCACTTCATTTAATGATTACAATGAGGAAAGAGGAATGAAACTAAGTGATCTTTATTTGATTTTACAATAACATTGAAAGTTTTGATTGTAACTGTTCAAGATGACTTACTGAGCAAGTTCATCAGACTGAGTTCCCCAATTTCCACGACCAGAGTTTCCCGTTTGAGTACATTTCTGCAGACATTTAAAAAAAGCAAAAACTATCAGTTTGTGTACTTGGCTAAATTACAGACGCATATATCAAAGCTAATGTCAGACAAGTTTTTTTACCCGCGTCGGGTACCACTATGGCGTTCGTACAACCTGCGAGGCCGCTCCCCATCCATTATTGGAACCGCCACGGTATGGTCTAGGACCACCATAGCAAAGCCTTGCAGAGGGTTTTACACTCTCTCCATCTTCAGGTACGTCACTATTGCTGAACGAATTCTCTTCATTGGCAAAATCACGTTTATATCCACGGCCACCACGAGCACCTTCATGCTTCGCCTCCCTCAGTTAAAAGACAAGAAATCCCACACATCAGTGCTAAACCCAAGAGACCTAATAGCATCGATTTGAACACAGCTCAAGAGACACAACAGAAAATCTTCAAAAGCAGAACTTTGAGCTTTACATGATTCAAACTATATAAAAAAAGAAACTATAATCGACTATTAGGCATAAATCCATGTTGAGTAATTGGGATAACTATGAGATGAGATCAAAGCTACCCTGAAAACAAAACTTCATAACAATGCATAAACACTTTGAAAACAAAACACAAAATTGAAGGAATGCCAATTTACACTTTCAAAGAATATAACGGAAAAGACAACGTTCCCCACTGCCTTGTATCAAACTACAAAAAACGCCTCAAGACTTCATAGGCAAGGTGAAATATTTAATTAATTTAAGATATGATCATTTATTTAAATAAAATAAATTAAATAATTACTCAACCTAAACCATTAATCTATGTTATTTCCACCTAAATTATATGTGGATTAAAAAATGAGGAAACTATCTAACTGATCGTTTGACTTCATTAAATTAATCTAATCCTTTTTAACTTACCTCGAAAATAGTAATCAAATGAAATGACACGATTATGAAACAGAAAAATTAGTGTTCAATGAAAAAAGAACGTTTCAGAGGTTGATTGCTTTTAGGGGGAAAAGTTTCAGAGTGTTGTATTTTGTGTGGGGAAAAATCAAAACATCTCAGAGGAAAAAAATCTATTCATTGTCGCTGAATATTCTCTATTGGAAAAGGTGTTACAGAAGACTGTACTCTTTGTGATAAAAATAGTTCGTTTTATCTAGGTAAAATCAAAAGTTCTTGCGGGAAGTTAAGAGTGTCTAGGGCTCTTAGTTTATGGCATTTTTCACGGTTAGGACTCTTTACTTGGTTGAGGTTCTTTATACGATTAGAGTTTCTTTTCTGTGGGAGTATGATAAGCATGTATTTTGTTTGCATGCTATATTGTATCTAAATCATAGGAATGTAATCAAAGATACAGTGTAATAAACCGTTTGCTTCTTCGAGAATATGGGGATAATGCTATGTTTGAACTGTTTCTTCTTCTTCTATATCTATAGTTTATTTGTTTTGTTTTGTTTATATATTATGTCGTATTTAAAGCATCCCTGTCTGTTTGTATGCTATGTTCTTTAGATTCTTTTGTTTATGTGCTATGTTGATTAAACTTATAAAAAATACCATTGTCTGCTTGTATGCTACTAAATTGAATTGTTTTGTTAATATGCTATGTTGATTAAATTCATAGAATATATCATTGTATATTTGTATGCTACTAATTTTAATTTTTTTGTTCGTATGCTATGTTGATTTAACTATTAGAAAGTAGTGACAGAGGAGAAGAGATAGAAGTTTAGGAAGAAGTTGAAGATGATGATGAAATTGAAGAAAATAATGATGTAAAACAACTTGAGGTTAATAATAGTGAATTAGGGTTTCTAGAAATGTTTCAAACCTTCCTTGATATGAAATTTCTCCAACTCAATGCTAAGATTATTCATTTATGGGAGAAGAAGATAAGGGAGAGGATGAAGGGAAGGGAAGGGTGGGTGGAAAGCTCATATTCGTCCCCTTCAATCCACGGCTGACAATGACATAACCAAATCAACCTCAATTTCCTCCAATGGGTTATTTGCCCAGTCAGTCCTTGTACATCTAATGAGATTTAACTTATCTCAAGAATTCAATAATGCACCTAAGCCGACCCAGAACTATAGAATATTAACTCTCATAAGTACACTAGAAAATTCAGGGTATTATATAATATGTTTTGCATATAAGACAACGATATTTAAATATTAATGCAAAGTTTGATTAATATTGTTGAAAAAATTATTTAAAAAAAAATCTTTTTAAGTATTTGTGAATATTATTTTTGTGATGAGATGAAATGTGAAATAGTTGATATGGCTGAGGACCACCATAGCCACGTAGGGGTTGCCACTGTCTCCATCTTGAAGAACGAATTCGCATCATTGGCCATATCCCCACCACGAGCACCTTCATCTTTGCCTCTCTCACTTAAAACAGAAGAACATCACTGCTAAGCCCAAGAGAGATAATAGCATCGATTTGAACATAACACAAAATCTTCAACAACAAAAAAAAACTCAACTTTCAGTACCAGTGGATTTCATTTTAGGAAAGAAATAAGTGCAGCAAATCAATATACTTTTAGGAATCTTTTTCTCTCTTCACTCTAAGAAATAATTGAATAAAGATAAACACTCTCCGTGCCAACCAAATGATGACTCACACCTACGAATTTAAATAGCTTATTATTGGGGAAATAGGCGAAAGTCTTTAAAAAAAAACCTAATTTAAGGTTAAAAAAAATGATGGGAATAGATACGATAAAAAGTATTATAAAATTGGACGTAAACTAAAATATTATATTCTTCGTAATATTTTAGGTTTAACCGAAAATGTTACGAAAAATATAATATTTTTTGTTGTCAACCGAAAATGAAAATATAATATTTTAAGTTCAATCAAAATATCATAAAAAAATAAAATTTTAAGTTAAGTTCAACCTAAAGTATTATACTTTTCGAGTGTGCCTACCTTCGTATTTCTCAGCCTTAAATTATTATGCTCCACCACATAATACCCAGGAAATAGACGATGCTGAAAGTGATATCGCCAGAAGATATTTTTCAATAATAAATAGGAATAACTAAAACCAAGTATCTCCACGTTGCATTTAGAAACAAAATTGAAAAGAATTTTATTTAACCATAATTCTTGGTTGGGGGGGGGGACTAAGTCCATTGCTTCTATTTTATATTGAAAAAATAAGAATGAAAGCGAAAATAAATATATCGAAAACAAAATTACGATTGAAAGTTAAACCTAAATTTGAATAAAACTAAAACCATAATCGCCATTAAATTCCAATGCCCATCTCATTCATTAGCATTAAACATATCAAGCAATCAGTTCATTGTAGATGATTTCAGTTACAGGCTTCTATGAACATATAGTGATTATACGAAAGAATGTACTGATTTTCTGATTTACTATGAAGATTTTCGTTCTGAAAAAAAAGTGTACAAATAAGATTTTATCTATTATGCTTCTTAGGCTGCCCCATTTCTTTTAACTGTGCTTTTAAAGTAGCATGCTCATGCCACATCCTCTCTAACCGAGCTTCAACCATCGTCATCTCTTCTTTAAGGTGATGCATCCGCTTCTCCAACCAAGCCACTGCTTCAGCTCTGCTTTCTCCGCCTCCACCACCACCCATCATGCTACCCATGTACTCTACTGGGTAACTCACATGAACGTGTTGCGGTCGGTTTAACAGCACAACAATGCTTACCTGCAGTTAGAAAGCGAGCTGTAAGGATCCAACGATATGAGAATGATAAATCCGTATGGTAATGACTAATTATTACAGACAAGCTATGGAGTGCAACTATATAAAGCACTTGATTAATGAATTAAAATTAAGATAACAAGTTAACTGCAAACCACGAACCTGCATCAGGAAGATCACAGCAAAGGCAACGGTTAGGACCAGTGAAATATGGCCCCGGCGTTTTAAGTATGTGTAGGATTTCCTCAAAAGCTCTCTTAACAAAGACACGATGGATGAAGCGCTAGTCAAACTTTCTTGCAAAATATTCCCAATTTGTTGGCTAACATCCTGAGAATCGGACATCTGCAATGTCCTTACTGGATCACTTGTATTATGAGATCTTTCTGAAGGTTCCGGGGTAGCCACTGGCCTTTCAACTTGGACTTCACCATTTTCAGTTGAGCTTCCAGAAGGATCTACCCCTGCTTGAAACAAAGGAGCTTAGGTCAGTACTTCTGATATCTGCATCACTTCCTAGATCATAAACATCATTCCATGAAATTCTTCACACGCAAAAGATCTGATGGTCAGAGTTCGAACCTCCTTGTTTATCAGTGTTCTGCTTCAGCAATTCATGGGCCTGAAACATTAATGATATACATTCTTTCGATCAATGTTCAAACAAACTTCACAAAATAAACATAAAATTCGGGAGAAATACAATACCATGTCTATCCATGTTGCATAAGCCTCTCGACACTCTTCCAGAGTAGACTGCACTATTTTACCTGTACCATGTGATGGCATCAGATTCTAAATATAAAATCAAAAGGTCCACTACTTGAGCTATTCAAGAAAAACATCTTTAAAGAATAAAAAGACTGCCAAATTCACAAGTTCAAAACAATTTTGAAGCGACACAAAATGGTTTTGCAACTGCCGAAAATTCTCTGTTTCTTGTCAAATAGTTCCTTCCTCTACAAACCATAAATAATTTATTTCATTCTAAATCTCTTTGGCACTTCTGCAATAAAATTGCAGGTGCAATTATAATACGAGACATGTAAATGCATGTCTGTCATGGCTCAGGGCGAAGAACTAGGGATTCAAGAGAAAATTAGAAATAAATTCTTTGTATCTGGAGACACAACAGCGACTCAGCAAATCAAAATACAAAGATGCAGCACAAGAAATGCATAACCATAAAAACACCCTATCAACAAGTGGTTCATCATCAGTCAGCTGAGGCAAACCTTTCCAAACAGTTTTCTTACTAAAAGCCACATTAACATAAACCCGTAAAGCGCAGCCTTCTTGTGGGTCATCACTGTCTCTTTCTACATCCCAAAGCCCCTGATAAAATACAGGGAAATTTCAAGCACATATCAGGAACATTTTTGACCCAAGCTTAAAGTGTCATAAACAGAACAGAAACAGATTATGCACAAAACAAGGGTTCTTTCAGAACAAATAAAATTAGAACTGTTATTCACGACCTTTTTTTCATGGCTTAGAACTTAGAAGTACTCACATTAAGCATCTTCACAAGTTTTATTATGTTATATAAACTCAAACAGAGAAAGTGGAGCTCCTATACCCTCTCTTCCACTCTCCATCATATAAAGCCCAATATGAAGAATTCTAAAGCAGATTAATTTTTTGAAAAACAAATACACACCAATTAAGTTAAAATCTTACATGCCAAGTGCGGGTATATTTAATACCATGATTTAATTTAGAACATTGACCAAACCTGGGCAAACAATGATTTGGATCAAGAAAGATTACCAACCTAAACATCTTGAAAAAACCTTCTTGAAATGCAATGGACAAGTTTGTCTCCAATATATATTGCATAAACATAGACCAACTAGACTTGTCATCATGCTTTTGTTTTGAGTTCTCAATTTGAAGGGCTAGAGTACAATTTTCCTCTATGTCTGAAAATTCTGACCCATAATATTCTCAAGAAATAGCAGGATAATTAATGACCAAAAGTGACAAACAAAAGAATGGAGAACAGTAGAACACTTCGCACATTCAAGCATGTTTAAGGGAGCTTAGGTCTAGCTTGTACCTCTACACGGAAATAATCTCCATATGGTACATCCTTGATCTCTTGTGATGTCTCCACAACCAAATGACTGTCCAAAATTAAAAGTGATATTGCGAGGATACATAATAGGATAAAAAGGAATATTAAAGATCTCAAGGAAAAAAAACAAGGCAGCCAATCGAAGAATGAAAAGTTAATGCCTATTCCCAGGTGGAACATTGTGTTTAAATGCATAGAAGAATAAACTACTTAGAGAAATGTAAGGGTAGAAAAATAATAGGGTACATCTTTAGTTTTAGGATAAGAACAAGAAACAACAATATTTTACTCATTCAGTGCATCAAGAACTGCAACTTCAATAATATTTCTCATTAACTGAAACTATAGACACACTAATGGCTCTAGTTTTAGAATATATTTACACCTTCAGAGAAATAATATTTCATACGTTGTTTTAGACTATCAAACATATCAAGAGTAAAAGGCTCATTCCAAAGATGCATTCTTCCAGAGAAATAACAATAACAAATACAGCGTCTTCAACTATATAATAGCATACAAGGCACCACAAAATATCATCAACCTGTTTCTGTAAATGCGAAATTTCTGGGCCTCCTGGCAGCTACCAAATTTTGCACCTTGGTAAAAACAAAAACCGTTAACACTGAAAGAAAGGCAGCATTAAACTGACTTCATAGTTAATCCAGTATTGAATAAGTCAAAAGAAGAAAGAAGAAAGTTTTTTTTTTTCCATTAAGATTTTTCTTATCCTTATTTCAAAATAAATAAACAAATAAATAATGACAACAACACTAATATATAAGACATGATGCTAGCCTCAGCATAAATAACAATTCCAGGACAAAATGATGGCATAAAAAAGGACTAATACCAAAGTATATTTTAATTGGATGTTGAAACGACACATCACGGACATGTCCAAATTCGTCATGAGGGCGCCATGAAGAGCACCTAAATTCTGTAAAAATAATCATTTATTAATCATAAAGGCATATGTGAAATAAGTGATCACTTTTATGATATGATATAATCCAAAAATTAACCATGAACATAAAATAAAATGCACATTTGGAAATTATATAATTCTTGAAAATTCAGAGCAGAATACCTTTATCTCCACACCTTCTATGAAAAGATTCAATGAAATTAACAGCATTATCTGAAAAAAACAAATTGAAGAACTCCTCTACCTTAACCTGCAGCCCAAGAAACATTACTCTCTTCAGAATAAAAAGAACATACCAATGTTACAAATATTTTGCAATATGGTAGAAATCTAGGAAATTGAGTTCACAATTTATTACCGGGAACTTTGTTTCAGCAACTCTGGTAAAACATTCAGCAACTGCATAACCAAAAAAAAAAGAAAAAAAGAAAAGGTTGCAATGACATTTACAAAAAAGGAAGCGTAGTATCCTATAAAAAATGAGACTAACTAGATGGTACAAAAAAGGAAGTGTAGTATACTATAAAAAGCGAAGAATCTATGGCCTCGTGTCTGTATATGAAAAAAAACGTGTGTTTTAGTTTCCTCCCCCACCTGAAACTTTCTATGACCAAAGCCCACATCTACCTTCTATTGCCACATATACCCTCATTTGCCAACAAACAGATGACGATTCTGCCTATTTCTACAAGAAATGATGAGCTTCCATAATCAGTCCTTTAGGTTTACTTCAACCCTTTAAGAACCATTAAGTCATGACTTTGATTTATTTAGGGACAAAAAATTATGTTGTAATCAATGTTGTAAGAACCAAACTGGAGGCCAAACAGGTCTGACTACCGGTTTCCGATACAATAATAATTAAATAAAATATTAAAATAAAGAAAATTTCATTAAAAATCATAACCAGTTCAACCATCAGTTTTTTTGTCCCAGTTTTCGGTTTTATCAGTTCATAATGGTTCGCTCAATTTCCGATTTTATATCACCACTCAGACCATAAGTTCCTGGTTCAACCAACCAACCAACCAATCCTATTGCGAAAACACTGGTTGTAATCTTCTAAGGAGCTTTTGGAATTATTGATACTTCAAGCAATTTATCCCGAAAATTTCTCTCAATAGCACTTTCTTCCTCTATTGTTCTCCTTGACCCCCCGGTTCTTTTTTTTTCTTTTTCTTATTTCAGTCTACCACTCTCTTTATCTATTCTCACTTTCCCCTGTTGCTATCTCTCTTCTCCCGTCCATGGCACACCATAGTTCTATATCAAGATCATTTGAATCACTCGTCTAGAGTAGCGCAACAAGTGAAACCCAATCACACATACATTAAATACATAATCAAGGAACTTGCTATGTAGCAAAGTGTGAAATCAGACAGCCACAAGTCGAAATGATGAATTCAAAATGAGATAATATGAACATGAGAAAGCTACAATTCAGAACTGCAGTAACTTACCCTTTGGCGCATCACAATCCTCTGGCTTCCATGAATAAGTATCTCCAGATGCTGATACCCCAGCATTTAAAACTGATCCAGGACTAACTACTGCATTTGTTTCAGAAGTGGAAGGAACCTTAGAACCACTGGATGTGGGAACGTCCTCATTCCTGTACGGAAAAATACACTTTAAGTAAATAATTCACAGGTTCATATCCATAAAATAAAATAAAATTCAAAAAAGCCTTCAAGGAATTCCCAAGAAGGTTCCCAAACCTTTCTGTTCACAAAGAATACCTGTCTGCAGATTCCATGTCATTTACTGGGTTTTTAGAGCTATTGATATTTTCAATTGCAACAAAACCATTCTCTTGGGCACTGGACTCAGACATGGAATCCTAAAAGTAAATGAAGTTAGAAAATAACCAATTGGAATAAATACTCAATTTGCTATTACTAAACTATGATCCTCAGTTTCTAGAACATCTGGGGAAAATGTCTGAAATTTTATTTAATAAAATGAAAATTTTCACCGAAATCCTTACACACAGATAAAGAACAAGACCATGAAATCAGCATATGATACAAAATACCTCTAGAAGAAACACAAGCAGTGAAAATCAGTTGTTCAAATTTAAGACATGCATGTATGCTGTATCTACAAGGGGTATTAAATGATTTGGTTAACATTTCCTGCATAACTAATGAATTGCTTATAGTAAGAAGCAGAAAATCTTCTCCAACAGTAATCCTAAGCTGTCATTTCTTTTTTCAGTAGACCAGCTGTGAAAAATAAGACCTGTTGTTCTGTAATTTCTTGGGCTCCATTACCATGCTGCACCCATCCATCATTAATGAGCTTGAAAGCTTCATCCCGAGATAGGAATGATGCAAAGAAGTACTGCCAAATCAAAAGGCCGAGTCAGATAGAATGATTAATGAATGCACACTTAAACAAGCACATAGAAGAAATATGCATAGCAAGTACTAGTACCCTCTTTCCTCCAACAAAAATTTCTATTGCATTAGGAAAGATTCCGGCAGTCTTTGCTCTGTTAACACTTGTAATTTCATTGAAGGCAATGATTTTCTGCAGAAGGAACTCATAAGATATTCCAATATCATATCATTCTTACATAGAAGATAAAAGAGTTGACAGGGAAACAAGACACTGGAAACCAAACTAAGAATAAAAACCAAATTCTGAGGAATACCTTTGTTTCAAATCCAAATATATTGGAATAAAAGCAAATGTAACGGACAAACAGGTACATGTGACCCTGCAGCAGAGTAAAGAAATCATCTAAGTAAAGCATGCAACTTCAAGGCAGTAATGGTCATTGTAAAGATGTAAATTACCTGAAGAAGAATACTTTCCTGGAATGCACAATTGAAATCCTGAACAAGGAACTGCAGCAAAGGAAAAAAGAAAATGTTTAAAAACTCTTTTTTCAGATTTCTAAAATGCAAGATGCTGAGAGAATTTTCAAATAAAGAGCAATTCAATTAGAAAGAATTTTCAAAACTACAGCCAAAAGTAAAACTAAAAAAATGGAATAGCATCCATGTGATAAGAAAGTTTAGGTATCACGCATTACTTGCATGCAATGTGTTGTTATTTCTGACACACTAATCATGAGAAACAATGCATGTGTTTACAGAACAAAAAATTCAAACGAGGAGAGTATCAGAGATCTGCTGACCCATGCTAATCATGAATAGACTTAACACAAGGAAACTCATCTATTTTTTAAGGCTTAATGCAAAAAAAAAGTGCCCAAACTATACCCAAAGTTAACTTTAGGTGCCTAACGTTTCCAATGTTACACTTTTAGGTGCTTACCGTTAAATTCGGCCTTTAAGTGAAACGTGTTGGACTTATAATTTTTTTTTTTTGAAATTTTATATGCCTAACATGTGTCACTTAATGGCTGAATTTAACGATGTTAACGGTCCAGGCACCTAAAAGTATAACGTTGAAAACTTTAGGTATCTATTTTTAATGAAAAATTCTTTAGGCACCTAAAGTTAACTTTAGGTATAGTTTGTGCAGTTATTTTTACATTAAGCCATTTTTTAACTTAGAAAAAAGGTACTACACAAGAAAGTTTAACGATAACAATAGATACCATTTAGACCAGAAGTAAAACAGAAAGCATGAACAAGCATTTAAAATACAAAAAACTCTCAGTATCTTCTCTCACAATCACAAGAATCAATTTTTGCAATTAAAAGACAAAGAATGCCAAAAACGAAATACAGAGGCAATAGGAGAACTGCTAACAGCTAGTGATTGTGACTCATTAGAGACGCTCACCTCTTCAGGTGGAAGCCTGAACAGTTGGCGGTATTCTTCACTTCTCAATGCTGACGGAGACTGAAATTCAAAAGCATCAGATTTAGCCATAGTGCGAGAAGTTTTCAATCGTCTATAACTAAATTCTCAATATTATATAATTAGTCCAAGTTCAACAACATTGTTCAACATCGTATTTTCTATCTCTTATTGGATAAAATATTTTCAAATCATTTTTTTCAGTGGCTAGTTTACGAATTTGACCATAAGAACAAAAAGGAGCTTCAATATATTTCTAAAACAGAAAGTTAGGGGAGAGCAACCTTCAAAGAAAAAAGTTATGTGAAGGTAAATATCACTAAATTATGTTGTAATTTCTTTAGAACGTGGGCGTAATAATCAAGAAGTAGAAAAAATTGAACTCAAAAGTCAAAACATAATCCTAATCTACTTTCTCTCTTTTTCTCGGGACAATTGTAATGGGAGCGGAGAAATGAATTAAGCTATTAGAGAGTGAAAGAAAATGGAACCTGAATTTCAACATCTTTGTAGCTAGGGTAGGACGCAGAATTGGAAGGATCGTTGCGATCGGGAGTGTCGGTGGGAGACACGTCGTTTGGCGAAGGTAAAGAATCAGAAACGTCGTCGGATGATACTTTAGAAAGAGAACGATCCATAGAAGACCTCGGAAGATCGATCCTCTCTGCGGCAGCAGAGGTCACCGCCATAGCAGGGGCGAAGAGCTGATAGAGATGGCGGAGATCTGAGTTTTCTGTTTTTTTTTTTTTTTTGGTGGAAGAGTCCAAGGGGGTAGTTGAGAGAAACTACGTCGTTTGACAAACAGGGACTGATTCTGAAAGTTGAAGCCAACAATCTTGCGGTTTTGCAGTCTATTTCACTGCCACGGCAAGTCTTTCAAGGAGAGACGTTGACTACTTCAAACGTGGCGTATTATTTTGAGCAGAGAAAAACGACAACCGTACGGTCCTCCTGTGGACTCTACCACGTGCCGGAGTCAAACCATTCATTCAACTCCATCTTTTATTGGGTGTCTATTTTGGGCCGATTTAACCAAGTTTTTGTTTTGGCGCAATAGCATGCTTATTGGGCTTTTGATTACTATTATTCAAGATGAATTACCTGCATGGTCATTCAACTTTTAGACTGTCAACGTTTTTTTTGGTCACACAAATCCTCTCAATTTAATCCCTCAACTTTTAGACTGTAAACTTTGAAGACATTAAAATTTCAATCACTCAATTTTTAAGCATTAATATTTAGAATTTTAGATCACCTAAATATTTTTTAGATAAACCATCTATTCTGCCACTCATATATTCTAATTTTATGTTTTGATCACTCAACTATTATTTTTTTAAAATCATATTTAAAGTTATGTTTTGTTTCTATTTTGGTTATATTCATTAGGTTTGACCATTGACTTAACGAAAATGATGATGCGACATGATATAATAACATTTTTAATCCTTAAAACTTATACATCATATAAAATTGATCCTAAATTGAAATAATTCGATAAATCATCAATATTTTAAAATTCTATTAATTTAATCATGTTTTAATTTGAAATAATTTCATAATTTAATGGTGGCGATGAGTTTGTGATGGATATTATTTAGAGTGTTTAATAACCAACGAGGAGGCCAGACTACGCATGTTACCTGGAACAATCAGCCTGCGCCAAAGATCCCGAACTGCAGTGTTAAAATATGTAGAATTGTCTCAGCAGAAGCACCGCACACAAGGCAGAGGGGGTCATTAGAGTCTTCGCTTGGTTTGTTCTAGTTTGGTCATTAATTTATTCTGGAAGATCTTCCAGATAAAGAGTCTGATACGTTGGGGGATTTGCAGGGACCAAACAGACTTCCAAATGGGATTTTTCTCATTCCCCGCCTACCAATTGTTCGTATGCAGATCCCACCGTAAAGGATAGTTTAGGATCCCATCGCCAGTGGCAACTATATGCAGATGTAGCTAATCATTGTAATCACTTTTCAACCTTCTTACCTTTCTCTCTTTTTTCCCATCAACTTATTTGACTAAATAACGGTGAAGCAAATCAATTGAATAAGCAGCTTTTTTCCCCCTCTCCACTCCAAATTCGGCGAGTCCAAACAGTTCCCACCACTGTTTATGAACATGGAAAGTGAACCTGGTGGCTGGTGAATGCAGTGAACAAAACCTAACCGGACAAGTGGATGGTTGAGGCTGGCCACTCATTCAGGCACTCAGTGGCTTCATCTTCGTCCTTTGCTTGGCTGGTTATCTGCCCGCTCTGGCCTAAATCAGCACCCAAATCCCAATAAATAACACTCATTAAATGCGTTGGACATGGATTTAAATTATGTTTATGGTCACCTTGTATTTATCGTAATTGAGAATATAACATGTACTATTATGATAATTGTGGATACCACAATTACGGAATAACAGTTCGAACGACACCGCTATCACTATATAACGGGCATTATTAAGTTAGCATACTGCAATTTAAATCTCTGGCGTTGGCCTTTCAATTATTGAATGTCACGGGAGTGATCGACATTGATAGAACCATTCACGCGCATGCCTCGGATGTTTACATTTGTGGCAAACTTTAAGACAGCCTTTATACCTTCAGGATATCAGGTGTTCGTAATTGGGCAGCGTTGGCGACAGTGAATCTTATTGGTTCGTTTCCCATAATTGATCAAACATTTCGTGTTTTTTTTCTTTTTTTCCAACTCGGAGGTTTGGACTTTGGATTTGACAACAGAATGGAGTTTGAGAATGAAACTTTACTGATGTGTTTGGTGTTGCGGATACAAAATGCTTACTTATTGTTGGCCATTTGGGAAAAAGTATATAATTATATGGTTGAATTATACAAGAATATGATATAGCATCGGATAATGAAACCTCAATCATATGAACAAAAATAAAACAGAGACTTCCATCGGATTAAAGAAGTCGTCGACATTAGAGGGTTAAGGAGGAGTCGGACACAATCGAATTTTATATTTAAAATCTGTTTCATTTAAAAATATATATATTTAAATTATATATTTTTTTAAGTGGTTAACTTTTTTTATATATATTAAATCATGTGTTTGACGTTACATTCCATTATTTCTATAAATATTTTCAGGCCGTTCCTTAAAAAAGTATTTGTTGTCATCCATTGATAATTCAATTTAGTAAAAAATAAATTGATTTTTAAAGCAAATCAAAATAGTTTATAAGCACATAAATTGTACCATCAAACGTTTAAATAATTGTCTAATAGTTTGGGGACTGTATAATTTAACCTTTCAAAACTATCAAATAATAACCTAACATTCTTAAATTTATTTAAATAAAAATAGTTAATTGCATCACATGTCCTCAAAAAGTATAAAATTCATTTTAAATTGGTCTCTAAACTTTAAAATATTTTAATTCCATCCTTAAAATGTGACTATCGTTTTAAATTAGTCCTGAAACTTTAAAACAACACAAATCCATCTCTAAACTATGACCTTCATTCTAGATTAGTTCCCAAACTTTTTGAACATTTTAATTTCATCCCAAACTATACTTATGTGCTAATCACATCCATTATTAATAAAATCGTATTGAGAGAATAAACTGACACCATAAAAGATAAAATTGCATCTCTTCACATTAATTAACTCAAGTATTAATCTACTACATTTATTACACAAAATCACTAGCTAACAGATTACAAAACTACATTCTACCTACCTAACTAACATTAATCCACCTAACTTATTACCTACTCAACACTCTCCCTCAAGTTGGTGAGTAAAAAACATCCTTTACTCCCGGCTTAGATAACAAGTAGTTATGTTGGGCAACTCCCAAAGCTTTAGTAAAAATATCAATTGTTTGCTCTGTTGTAGCCACATACTCAATCTGCATTAATCCACCTTGAACCTTCTCCCTAACAAAATAATAATATCTCTATGTGCTTTGTTCTTTCATGAAAAACTGGATATGTTACTATTTAAAGGGCTGCTCACTATCACTTAGAAGTTTGACCCGTTGCTCTCCTTTAAATCTAAGCTCCTTCAACAAACCACTTAACAACACTATTTCTGATGTTGTCATTGTCATACTCCTATAGTCGGCCTCTGCAGAATCTGAATATCTCTATGTGCTTCGTTCTTTCATGAAAAACTGGATATGTTACTATTTAAAGGGATGCTCACTATCACTTAGAAGTTTGACCCGTTGCTCTCCTTTAAATCTAAGCTCCTTCAACAAACCACTTAACAACACTATTTCTGATGTTGTCATTGTCATACTCCTATTGTCATTGTCAATTCTTTTACTTGATTGAACAGAGGTTGAATTTGCTCAAATAAATGTTTTTTTACGATTAACTTTGTTATTATTTTTATCTTTACGAAAGATGTGGTATTAAAATTATTTGATAAAAAATAATAAAAAATGTTATCGAAAAAGTTAAATTTTTTATTTGAATAGATTTAAAGATATTGAAAATGTTCAATTATTTTGAAATATTAAATATATATTCGTTTTAATTTAATTAATTTTATAATTTATTAATTGAACTTGATTAAGTTAATTAAATAGTTAATTTTAACTAACAATCAGTTGGTATAATAGGAAAAAAATATTAGATTTCTTAAACATGATCAGAGGATTCAAACACTGACATTTATGAATGAAGTAAACTAGATTAGAAGTACCGCCTCTATAATATATCTCTATAAAATCCGATCTAAACTAATCGATTAATAAATTAAATACAAGTGATTAATTCAAATAATTAAATTTTATAGCATCGGTAACGAAGTGAATCCTTTGAACCATACCAATAGCCAATAGGCCACGTCTTTGTGAACAGTAGTGATAGTAACTGAAGTACTACGTAAGACCTACGGTGAAAAAGATAATCAAAAGCCATAAAAAAATAGTATACCAATTACTATATAATTAATTTAGAAGTGGGTCGGCCCTACCTATTACAATATCTATGTTATTTTGACATCATGACCCATCACTGGAACTTTACAAACTAAACTAAACTAAAATAAAACAAAACAAAATCTTATTCTATTTTTATTATCTAAATTGATTTTTTTAATTTAATATTAAATTATATTATATTAATATCATAATCAAATTTGATTAAAAATTCTAAATTTTTTATTATTCAACAATCCATTCCCTTCCGTTATCGTTTTTAGGAGCGAGTAAAATTTGATTCAACTTAAAAAATTGAACTTGACTTGAGGTGATTTGATCTAATTTGAAAAAAATTTAAGTTCAATTTGGGTTTCAAATAGAAATCAAATAACTTAAAATTTTAATAATTATTAGATTATTTTGAATTCAACTCGAGTCGGTCAACTTTGCATGATATAAATCATATCGTATATGAAAAAAATATGAAGAAATATATATGTGAATCGTATATGATTATTGAAAATCGTTTAAATTAGAATCAAATAGTACTATTATATTATAAATATTTACAATTAAATTTAAACAGAAACTCAAACAACTCAACTCAATTTGACTCGATTTTTCTTAAATAAAATGCAAATTTCAAAATAAGCTCGTCAATTCAATTTTTTTTAACTCAACTTGATTAAATACACAATTATAACCGTTTCTGATTAGATGATATATGTGATTATATGAAAAAAATTATAATTAGAATGTTTATTTTATTTAATGAAATAATTAAAAAGGTGTAATCATTAGACCATAACCATAATTTGTACATCCAACGCTCATTTAAGAATGTTAAACATATCATTCAGCCTTTGAAAAGCAATGCAGCTTAAAGAAGTAACAAACGTGGGTCCAGGCTTTAATGCGGACCCCAAACGCGCCTCTCTCAGTCGCCCGCTGAATCTTATAAAGCAATTTAAGCAAAAACACCCTCCCTCTCGATAAAAGCAAAAGCTAGTCTGCCATTTCTAAACTAGCACAACAACAAAAAGCTTACTTACTTGCAAGTCGAGACAGGGAGGGAAGAGCTTGGGCACTACCGCCTCAACAAGAAGGAGCTGCTAATTTGGCATTTCTTTTGGAAATTTTTTGCTATAGAGAAATTCGAGTCCGTGGACTCATTGAAGGCCGAGTTCGAATCTCTGTTTACTCATCCTTTGATTATTTTTTAAAGTTCGCACAGGTTCATGTTGTCATGCTATTTTTTGGGAGTTGTTATTTTTCGCTTGAATGTTCCGTATTTTCGTTCCGTTTACTTTTTTCTTTTGTTTTGTTAATATGAATTTTAAGATCTCTCTCTGTGTGTATATTTTCAGAGTTGGAGTTATTAGAGAATTTTCTCCCCCATCTCTCTCTCTCTCTCTCTCTCTCTGCTTGACAAGAGACAGAGGTTGAGAGGTTTTGGAGGGTGGAATCGAAGGGTTTACGTTGCTAATGTTCCGACAATGGAATAGAAGAGATGTGTGGATCTTTAATTTGTGATTTTATCTTCTTTTCTAAAATAAATTAACTAGGGTTTCTCTAATTCCATTTTCGCGGCATTTAGTTGATAGCAACTCAAATTCACAGATTTCATGAATTATTTCATTGATCTGTTTTTTTTTTCTTTTTAAATTTAGAAGTCAAGTATATCTTTTCAAGCGTTAGAGGCTTTGTGAGAGAACTTTGATTGCTCTATTCTTGTAAGTTTTATATGTTTTTATTGTTAAAATGTGCGGGAAAAACCTGTTTTGGTTAGAAAAATATAGGAAGAGTACATGTTATAGATGATACGTTAATTTTTTAAAATAAATTTTATATTGAAGATTAAATCTGGATAAGTTGCAATGGCAGCGAGTGAATTTTGATGTTTGTTTCCAATTGGTTAGTGATCTATTTTATTTTGGTGTGCTGATAAAGTGGGCTAAAATCTGAGAATATCATTGTTAATTTATTTAATTTTGGTTAGACAGTATAGGAAAAGAAATGGTTCATTAGATTTATTTTGAAGTCTAAGCAGAAAAACTAGACGAATTATTGAACTCAATCTCTACCTCATTTTGCAGGGTTGCTTTGCTGTTAAGATTACTCTATGTAAGGTTCGAGATTTCTCGGAATGGAAAGGGTTCCAAAATTGAAGTTGCTTGCTAGGGAATTGCCCGCTGTGAGTTCAGTGTCAAATCAGCATATAGTCTTTGAGGGAGAAGGAGGTCTTATGTTGAATTTTCAAGCTGTACGCTCTGGAGATAGAGTGGGTAGATGTAATGTGGGAAACTCCCAATTATCGGAGTCAGCTGAACCCGTAAGAACATGGAAAGGGAAGGGGAAAGACTCCTTGCTTGAAAGGGTAGAAATCATGCCTGATGTTATTACATTCAATTGCGACAGTGATTCATTGGAGGAAAGTGGACTGATTTCTTTTTCTGGAGCTAGTCACCCCCCTGAACCTGTGGACATGGATCCAATGGGAACTTTGTATGTACCAATCAGTCAGAAGAAGTCCGATCCTGGGTGTTTGATAAAGAGCATGTCAGTGAAGGGACCTTTTCTAAAAGATCTTTCAATCAGGGTTCCTCATAAGAAACCAAGTCCTGCTGTACTTTCGCCAGCTGAAAGTTTGGTTGAAGAACCCAATGATTTAGGTACGCTACTTTCTTCTCCATTTTCAGGTCCACGTGCATCAAAGAATGCTGATAATTCTCACATTCATCTAGGTTCAAATGAAAGAGAATGTGTTTTGGATGCTCTTTTACTTCCAAGTGATAATGTAAGCCCACATAGCAGCATTGACAGCACCGGGATTGCCACTGCTATGAGCATTGTCAATAGCACTGTGAGTACGTGTAGGAGTGATGCAGTCACAAGTGATGGTATGGAGAGGAATTGTAAGAGTACAAAAGGAAGTGTCAGAGCAGATTCACTTGAGAGTGCAAAGACTAGTGTTAGCCAAGCAAGTGACAGCAGTGGCCTTAGTGATGACAGTAACTGGAGTAATATTACTGGAAGCGCTAATAAGCCTCATAAAGGAAATGATCCAAGGTGGAATGCCATCCTTGCTATCCGGGCTCGAGATGGAATTTTGGGCATGAGTCATTTTAGATTGCTTAAACGGCTTGGCTGTGGAGACATTGGTAGTGTATATCTCTCAGAGCTGAGTGGTACTTGTTATTTTGCAATGAAAGTAATGGACAAGGCATCGCTTGCAAGTCGTAAGAAGTTGAACAGGGCTCAGACTGAAAGGGAAATTCTGCAGCTGCTGGACCATCCATTTCTCCCCACTCTGTATACTCATTTTGAAACTGATAGGTTCTTGTGTCTAGTCATGGAATATTGCCCAGGGGGAGATCTACACACATTGAGGCAACGACAACCTGGAAAGCATTTCTCAGAGTATGCTGCAAGGTATGGCTTAAATACTATAAACATTCTCCTTATGTATAATATTAGCATCCTTGAAGGGAAAAAATTTCTGTTGAAAGGTTTCTTTTTTATCTTACTGTTATTTATCTTCCTTCCTGTATTGTCTCTAATCTCACATTGACTTTCATGATAGTTTCCTCTGGTTTCTCAGAAGTTTACTACCATGACCACGAGGATTAGTTTGTTGATCCGATTTTCTTTCTGTTTTGCGCATGTCTCCTACTGTGTGGTAATTGTTTTTCTATGTTAGAATTATGGGCAAGTTAGTCCCTAGTTATTGGAAGGGTTGCACTTGTACATGTTTTGCCTTTTATTTTGCAAGCTCTTACCTAAATGTCATGCAAATGAGAATGCGGTTTTCATCTCTTTCATACTTTTCCACATGTTGGGAACCTTCAGCATATTTTCAAATCCACACTGTTGATTTTCTCATCTTTGGAGTCATGGGTCAAATAAAACCAAACTAGTTAACTGAGTCCAAAGATAGTAGTTCTCTATGCAACCTTGGGCCATATGTCTAGTTTATGAATGTTGGTCTTCCCCTCATGCTGCTAATACTAGGCAGGGAGATGCTTTCCATCCTTGTGGACCTGCTAGCCTGTTTATGTGAGATAAAATTGTAAATGCAACTAACCAAAGCTTTTATTTCCTTCTATAAGTCTCTTGTGTGAACTGGAGTCTAGAACTGTTTATAGCAAGGAGGCTATTGAGACTGAATGTGATGGGCATGGAAATGGATTCCTTTTAAATCCCTAGTTTGCTTAGTTCCCTTAACTCTGTAGGTGCCATGGACTGATTGTTATCTGTTTATGTTGAATTCCAAAATGGTTATCAGTTTATGAGGTAATGATACTTAATATTTCCTTGGCCCCACAAGGAAGTACTTTTTGGAGAACTATTTAAGTCACTGTCCAAGGAGGTTATTGCATGTATCTAAATGCATCACGTTTCAGGAGTTTTTTTTTTAATATGAAGTTGGCATAAGCGCATTGCTAAAGGTTTTGTCATCATATAGTCATAAGCAAAGGTTTTTGGCTAAGATCAGTGAATTTCAGCTAGAAAGTTACAAACTTGTCTTTCTTCTTAATGCAGATTTTACGCTGCAGAGGTTCTATTATCTCTCGAGTATCTCCACATGCTTGGTGTTGTTTATAGGGACTTGAAACCAGAGAATGTTCTAGTCCGTGAAGATGGCCATATAATGCTCTCAGACTTTGATCTTTCCTTAAGATGCGCAGTTTCTCCCACACTGATCAAAGCCTCAGCATTCAATTCTGATCCTTCAAAACGTGGTGCGTTCTGTGTTCAACCTGCCTGCATTGAGCCTACTTCAGTTTGCATTCAACCTGCCTGCTTTATCCCGAGGATATTCCCTCAAAAGAACAAGAAGAAAACCCGAAAACCTCAAGTTGAATTTGGGGTGCCTTCACATTCCCTCCCGGAGCTTGTTGCAGAGCCTACTGCAGCCCGGTCTATGTCCTTTGTTGGAACCCATGAATACCTAGCCCCTGAAATAATCAAAGGAGAAGGCCATGGAAGTGCTGTTGATTGGTGGACCTTTGGAATTTTCTTACATGAGCTGCTATATGGCAAAACCCCCTTTAAAGGCTCAGGAAATCGTGCTACACTGTTCAATGTTGTAGGGCAACAGCTGAAATTCCCCGATTCACCTGCAACCAGTTATGCTAGCCGTGATCTAATCCGCGGCTTGCTGGTTAAGGAGCCACAACACCGGCTAGGGGTGAAGAGGGGTGCAACTGAGATCAAGCAACACCCTTTCTTTGAAGGTGTGAATTGGGCTCTAATACGATGCAGCACCCCACCTGATGTGCCAAGACCAATGGAGAGCGAGTTGCCTAGGATGGCCAGGAAACTCGGGCCGGTGGAGCCAGTAGGAGTTGGTAACAACAGTAAAAGGATGGTAGGGACAGACATGAAATCCGAGGGTAAATATCTGGACTTTGAGTTCTTCTGAGGATATACGATAGCTCAGAGTTCAGTGCCTCTTCAAAGAAAATATCATGTTAGTTTAACAAAAGAAAATTAGTGGCTTATATTGAAAGGTATGCTGCCGCCTTTTGTGCACAAATATTGATAATTCAGACCGAGTGTTTGAATCGCCAATTTCATTATATTTCTTGTTATGCAATTCGTGGCAGATATAGTCCTTATGTATGTTGCTAAGTGTGAGCCTTAGAACGATTGATAATTCGAGTCTTTGTAGATAAGAAGAAGAGCATTTAGAAAGCTTTGTCCTTGTTAAAGATTCTGATCTGACTCGACATGAGAGAGAATTGGGGACAGCAGAGGGTCTCAAATTAGAAGGAAAGATGTATGCAGCTTTTAGAATTTGATGCCTCCGAAGATCGTATGCTGAATTCTCGGGATATGCGATCCCCCAGCAGCCTGAAACCTTTGCTGAGCTTAGGATTTATGTATTCATCATCACAATATCAATCTATTAATCCAGACTGCGTGTGAGTTTATCAATTAACAACAGATGTCTTCTTTGCACTGACTTCAAAATTTGGTGAAAATCAACAAAGTTTGTAATGGCTTTCTTCGTGGGACAGCAAAGCGGGTTATGTAGTAAGGTGGGAACAAAAAGAGGCCCTTTTACTTTAAAAATGAAAATAAATGTGATAAAATATCAAACAATGTGGATTGGTATTGGAAGTAGGACAGGCATAAAATTTTATGTTAAGAAATGAATTTCTAAAATTTTAAGGGATAAAAATAAATTTTAAATAGAAAACACAAAAAAATTTAAAATATATAGTAATCTTAATTTTTTAAATAGAATGATTGGTCCTCCATGCCCATGCCCTTCGGTCCATACTTGAAGGGAGGCAAATTGCAACAATTTTTTAATTCAATAATCTGAGCAATTTCCTATACAACATAGTTGAGGATATGAGGAGCACAAAAAGAATTCCATAGTATTTAAACATTTTAAAGAAAAGAAGTAAAACATAAAAATAGTAGTATATAAGAATCGATGTATTCATCTATTAGATATGACAAGAACGGGAGCAAACCGAGTCAGGAGCTTCAGTAAACAAGGCAGAAAAGCCGATGAATGCTTGGGAAACTCCCGGTAAGCCCGTTTGAAGATTATTCAGTGTCTTGTAACCTCTACTGCTTTTGCATGCCTTAGCATTTCTATGATAGGCTGCGAGCTCGGGGATCAAAAAGCTGCCCATGATCAGGAAGTTGGACACCAACCATAGAGTATGAGTGGTACAACTTCCCTTCTATGTTGCAGAGACACAATTCGGTTTCAGTTTGCCTCTTAACCTTCAGATTGTTTAACAGATATGACATGGACAACATTGATCAAACTTTTGATAGCTTCGGTTTCAGGGAGTCGGTCAAGAGCGAGCTTCCACTCCTCACAAAAATGTGTACACGTTACAAGGCTCTGTGTTGCCATCAACATTGTCATTGCTGACGGGAAGAAGGGTGAGCAGATCAAATACCAAGTGGCAACTTTGTAAATAGGGTTGGTGCAGGTTATTCCTAAACTGGCTTTGAATCAAAATATTTTCATACTAAATTCACATTTCTTGTCCTAAATCTAAATTTTTAAAATAAAAAAACTAATCTTATTAAGTCAGTTAAATGCTTATCATCCCTGTAATAGATCCTAGCTTTGTTTTTCTTTTAAAAAAGTCAACATTCAAAAAGGTGGGGTTCTGTTGTGCAGCGGGTTAAGACGCGACTAAAAAACAGCGAAGTTAACGGGACCAAAAATATTATCAAAAAGCATAATATTTTAGGTTAGACACATTCTAACGTTAATCTAGCTATATGCTTCAACATTAAATATCAACTTAGATCTAATATGAACATATTTAAAATATGTAAACCAGATTTTGCACACGTGCTCACATCATGAACAATTTGAATGACATTTTAAAAAGCATATTGTCATTACATTTAATAGGGTTATTTTTAACATATAAGATTAAAGTTACCCATGCATAATATTTAAAATTTAAATCACGTATTTTAAATATACTAGGCACTTGAACCAAGCTAACATTTAATGCTGAAGTTTATGACTAACTTGACGAAAAGATCTTATTGAAACAATATTGGAAATTCAAGGAGTTAATTAGAATGTTTTTAAAATTTGAGGATCCGATTAAAAAAATTTAAAGTTTAAGAAACTAATTGAAAACTTTTAAAGTTTAATAATCCTGTTAGAATATATAACATTTTGAAAACCAATTTAAAACTTAAACCACAATTTAAAGATAATCAGCGCAATTAACTCTTTTTGAAATGTGAAATCGGTAAATTGATGACCTTGTTGATTGGACTTTGGAAGTAATGAAATTCAGGCCCTTATCGCAACCATGTTGCTATGGCGTTTCAAATGAATTGGCTAAACTAGAGCCTAATCCATTGGATTGCAGGAAACATTAGTCCTGCAAACTTTAGTTCCATCAACCCTCCGACCCTGCGGCCACAAGCAGGATGGATCCAGAGAGGACCAACAGGAACAGTCATTTTTCTAAATTATTAAATTATCTTATATTTTAAAATTCTCTGTATATTTTATATTTATTTTTCTCCTTTAAAATTTTATAAATTCATTTCTAACATAAAATCTTATTTTAATTTTAGTCATAACTGCGTGCAAAGCGGCAACACACGCCTGGGACGGGACTAACCAAATCCTCAACAAATGGATTTATATACATATTTCAGTGATGGTGGGTTCCATTTCGTAGGAGGAAATTGATTAACATTTTGCTTTTGTGTTTCTTTTTGTGAACTTTGGGTCACGTTTCATTGGCTTTTGTAATTTCTAAATTTCATTCTCTTGCCCTTTTCTTGGGGTCTCTCTTCACTTTTTCTATGGCTACGTGGGCATTTGTAAATTCAAGCACCGAGATTTGTTAAGAAACAAAAAAGATAAATGAAAATTGATGATAACAAAGTTTGGTGAAGGATGGTGAAGTTTGAGCTGTAACAACATTCCCCTCAAGTTTCAAACACCCCTCAATGAATTAACAGATTGATGACAATGAGGTGTAGAGTTTGATTCGAATTCAAAATGACGCAATTAATTAATATATAAATTAGAAAAAATAATAAACATAATTTAATTAAAAAGTAGAAAACTTTATTTTCGTTTTCCAAAATCCTCTTATATTCTTCTTCTCTTCTTCTATCAGTGGTTTTTCTCGAAAGGGTTTTCACGTTAAATCTTATTATGTTTTTTCTTTTTACAATTGTTCTACATTCATTATTATGGTGCTTTCATCATAACAAATTGGTATCACAACTTTTCGAGTTAGATTCAATTATGATAATGGTGTCAGTGAGATTTGAAATTTTATTATTGGATCGCAACACTAGGTTCTCATTATGATATGAATATTCAAGATGTTCTTGCATAATTAGACTTAGATGATGCATTGGAAGAGTTTGATAAAAAGCATCGTCATATTAGACGAACAAAAAAAGTAAGGATTGTAAGACTCTATCTCAGATCCATTTACATTTATCAAACCAAATCTGACAAGATGTGTTGAAATAAAAAATGAACACTTCTTTGTGGATGAAACTGGAGTAACTATGCATGAAGAAAATATTGACTAGTAAGTTGCACCTGTAGCATCTTATATACTCACATAAGTCGATAAAAAGTTCGTCACTTGAAGACCACTTGGCTGTATTTGAAGAGATCGTCTCCGACCTTAAGACTATGTATGTAAAGTACGACCAATAAGACTTACGATTGATCTTTCTATGTTCATTGCCCCTTCTTACTTGTCTTTTAGAGACACCATATTGTACAGTCGTGAAACATTTACTCTTGAAGAAGTGTATGATAACATACATTCGTATAATAAGATGAAGCATCTTGTATTTAGATTAGAGTTCAAGTAGAGGGTCTTGTAATGCATGGATCCTCAAATATCAACTTTGGAAGAAAAGTAGAACATAATTCTAGAGGTAAAAACAAGGGCATGTAAAAATCCTCAAATCAAAGAAAAATTTTGTAATTTTTGCGAGAAGGAACACCATATTAAATCAAAGTGTTACAAATTACAAAATAAAATCGAAGGAAAAACTGCAGAGCAGAACTGTAAAAAATATGGTGAGGCTGGTGCAATGGAGAGTACGATTCCGGAGAACTCCTAGTTGCGAACGACCTTTATACCAAATGATGAATGTATACTTAATTCTAGTAACAATTTTCATATGAGTTCCAATTGAAATTGGTTTGCGACGTATAAAGTCGTGTCTATAGGTGATAACAGTTATGTGAAGCAGAGAAGAGTTTAATTTCGTGGGCATAACGAATTTGAAAAGTAAAAGAGAGTCCAATTAACTACAATGATAAATAAGAAAAAGGATGAAATTGTCATTATTGATCGGGATCATGTTATGTATGATATTGCCCATGGTGATAGATTTGTTAGCAAAGTTAATACTTATGATAACCATGCCTATGTGAAGACTAAATTAAAATTAAGCTTGGAATCACTCAGTGTTCATTGTTGAAGAGTGCCACTTTAACGGGTTTTGTGGAATAAGTGGAGAATATGTTCTCAAGGTGGAGAATTTATTTGTTAAAGTGAATAATTATTTTTTGTTGAGTTTGGGTGTCTCATTTTAATTTAGGTATTTTGTTTAGAAACTTTTGCATTTTCAAAATTCGTGTCAAGGTGGAGACTTGTTTGAATTTGACTCAAATTTAAAATGACGCAAATTAATTAATATATCGATTGAGGAAAGTAATAAACCTAGTTTGATTAAAAATATAATTTTTTTCATGTATAAAATCTATTTTGAGTATATTTCTACTTTATATATTTCTCTTCTTATACTCGTGATTTTTCTGGAAGGAATTTTTTACCCTAAATTTTGATGTTCATTCTATTTACTATTGTTCTACCTTCTTTGTTATCGTGTTTTCATCATAGCATAATATTGAGGAAATATGATAGATTCAAGTTACGATACATCAAGGGGACCACCAAATACCTGATGCCTCACTCTATCATCATGAATTCCGGAAGACTTTAAGAATCGATTGAAAAATGCCATCATTATTGCACGGAATTCACACACGGATACGTCCTCTCTTATTGCTTCAATTTGTAATCCTTTTGTGAGCATTTAATTATTACGTTTTTGAATCTTGAATGTAGAAATCATGAACACGTCGCTTCCCTTGGTATGGTTAAGTGTTGCTTCAACCAATTTTCTATGGATTTGAAAATAAAGATTTGCCATTTCAGCTCCCCCAGCCTTTTAACATATTATTTTATTGTCAGAGACTAATTTCAAACTTTGGGTTTAAATTAGAGGACAAATAAATATAGAATCTGCACTAAAATGCTGTCATTGCAGAATATGGCTCAGGAGTATCTGACAAATTATGCAATCATTGTTAAGCCGAGCCGCAGAGGCACAGTGGGGGCATCCACCATCTATCTATGGTTAGCTTCTGTTACTCTTTACATTGATTTTAACCCGAGAAGATCAAATTTTGTACATTGCTGAAAAGCATTTTGGCTTCATTTGCCATTCACAGATATAACCAAAACCAATGGTTTTATACTTTCTTGGATTATTTCGAGACCAACAGGAGTGAAAGTGTTGAATTTGTTGCGTGGGAAACAGACCATCAGTTTCCACTACCATGGGCACCACTGTGATGGATCAGAGGTGTTCCATTTGCTTAATGCGTTACTCTCGGAAAAAGGTAGTTATTAAGATGCAATAAACAGGAGTCAAGAAGTATAAAAGATATATTCATGTACTATAGATTACAGTGATCCAATTGGTTTCACGGTAGCTGAAGCATGATATGACTAAGCAACATGGTATATGCTTCCATTGTTGCAGCTCAAATCTTGCAAATATCCTTTTTCTCACTATCCCTCGACTTTGTTTGTATCACACATCTCTACTTTCAATATTTCCGAACCTTTTCATCTGTCGGGCGATATTCTCATAGGATAGCAAAAGAATAGTGAACAGATAAGATATGCTTTGAACCGACCATCTAAAATAGCTGCATTAATGTTATCTAGGAAAAAGTGAAACAACGTATGTTTGGTCATACAAATTTTTGGGTAAAACTATTCATATTTTTTTCAAAATCATCTTTTTTGTTGAAAAATTTGTAGCCGTGAGAGTGAACGTTAACATGTTAACTTTTATGTGATAAATTTTTTATCATAAAACCGTTTGAGTTATATTTTATGGATTGACTCTCTAATTACATTCTGTCGCCAAACTAGTACTTCAAACATTATGTCGACGAATTAATACTTGAAAGTAACGACAGTGTCAATGTAAATAAGTAAAATACGATTTTATCATATCCTAATCAATAATTTAACGTCTAATTTAGATGATCAAGTGATAATGACCGTCTGAACAACTACCATGAATCATCGCATGTAGCACTTTGTCCAAATCAAAAGAAATAAAATCGCTTATAACCACGGCAACTCAAATGTAGCCATCCAACAATTTACTGACTAATAGGTTTGTTTATTCCTAAGGTAATCATGTTTCCCTTCAATATAAAACAATTTACATTCCTTCAAAACTCAACAGTTGAAAAGGGGAGAGCCAGCATTAGCAAAGCTAAGCAAGCAAGCAAGCTTGTGCGTATATTAAAACACAAGGGTCAAAAGATTCATTTTGTTAAGTGCAAAGTGCAATCGGACGTTACATCTTCACATTGCTTTTCTCCAAGTAGTTGGAAGAAAATGAAATACTATAGTAATAATTGTTGTAGTTGATGATGTTGTGGAGGGGGTTGGGCAGGTCTTTTCATGGGGAGGATACTGTGGATGAAGTAACAGCTGATGGGAAGATGTAGGGGTTATCATAATCCTTTTTTATCTTGTGTGTTTTTTTGGCAGGGAAAGGTAGGTCCGAGTGGACATATTATGCTCTCCTCTACAATGTGACTCATGTGATGCCATATTGCAATTTGATTTGGCTGGGATTTGAAAGCCCCTCTTTCATTTTTCCCATCTTTCAACTGCTTTCCACTCATTGCCTCCGAGACCCAGCTCTCTTTTTAATAAAACTTGGCATTAATTTTTAATTATCATTTATTATTTGAATAGATTACAAAATAATATAATTTATAATTTTTTATTTATTGATAAACATATATAACTTATAAATATAATTATTTAAATTTAAAATTTTTCAAAAAAATAACACTCTTTTTAATCATCAATATTATTGAATGAATTTTAAATTATCATTATTAATCTGTCAGTACGGCAACCACAACATCTCTTGCCAATGCCAACATTACCGTCATATGTCCACCTTTGCTTAAATATATGAATAAATCATAAACTGAGTGATTAAGGCACACCCGTCTCACTAACTAATTTCATCCTTCATTGTGTTTTATAAGCATAGTGCATAGAACTAGAAACTAAGTACCTTTAAATTTTAATCAAGTAAATATATTAAGCTTTTTTCAGTTGGGAAACGAACTGCAACCTAAGAATTCTCAGAGATGTGACGTGTGCGTTTTTAATAATATGTGATGATTATATGATGATATTTGTTCATATTTTTTAATATAACGCACATTATTATACAAAAGTATTTATTCAAATCTAAGACATCTATGAAAAAAATATATTTTATTTTACTATTAAAATCACTAAATAAATTATGAATGTACAAATTTTAGCCTATGATATATATGATCAAATAAATATTTATATATTTGTTGGTCGGGGAGGAACAAAATCAAGTGCAGCTCCTACCCTATATATATAGGGCAAAAAATGTACTACACATTATATATATAAATAAAAAAATTTCATTAAACATTTTTCATAATTATAAGTTTTGAATTTAGTTATGTATGATACATACATTAACAATAAAATTTGTTTTATCATATTTTAATATTACTATTCAATTCGAGATCGAAACTTTAAATTTTAAAAAATAAAATTTAAAACATGTTATTTAGTTAAAAATTAAAATGACATCGTTCAAAAAATTTAAACTCAAATTGAGGTTGAAATTAGAATAAAAATTTAGTCAATTCCAATAATTTAAAATTAAGAATACTTTGAAATAACAATTAAAATAATTGGTGTATCATTCACTATATATACCCTCATATCGAGGCTAATTTATGAGAATAATACTTATTTTATATTTATTTAATCAAATGACACTCAAATAATTATTTTTAAAGTATATATATATACCCTATTGATAAAGGTATGTCACGTAAAAAAAGGTTTTTCCAAAAGACATGATTTATAAGGCGCGTCTTTGCCGATGTGATAGATTTCTCTAGCAAAATATCCAGTGTTAACATCATTTAAGACCAAAATTAAAGAAATGATAACAATGGACAAAAAATGTAAAAAAAACTATATACAAATTTTCTCCAAATAAAAATAATAACATATGTGTCTAAGACAAGTATTTGTACGAGAATGAGCCAGACCACGATAGTAATACGTGAGTCAGAGATGAATCGAGGAAAGAGGATGAGGGTAGTCGCCCTTTGAAATTTAAAACTAATATATATTTTATTATTATTTTTTTAAAAATATGTTTTCACCCTTTGAAATTATAAGTTCATCCATTCCTAAAATTTTATAAGTCCGTCCTATAACATAAAATTCTATTTTTGTCCCTAACATGAGTGTCAACCTTGTCTTCATTCACAATGTGAGAAATGAGAATTTCATAGCCAAAACTTGTTACTTTTGAACTGTCAAAGACATTCTTAATTAGATCAGTCTGATTACGACAATTAAAGAAAATTTTAAACATTGAATCCCAAGTATTTTAAAAACAACTGTCTTTGATTTTCGTATTGATATGAGTCTGATTAAACTTTAAAGTTGTCTTTAACATCTCAAAATAACAAGTTTTGGTCATGAGATTATCAAATCTCACATTGCTTATATATATATTGTTTAAGTGTGTAAATATAACCATCTAAATATGCACTCAGGGAGTGGTTGAAGATAAGGTCGATACACAAATATTGTCATCTTCGTCCAATCGCCTCATGTACATATATGTCTTCAACATGTATTAAATATATTATTTATTTTTAAATAAAAATTAAATATATATTTTTTAAGTTTTGGCACATTATTCTGTTTTTTTTCATTTTAATCTTAAATGACATCAACATTAGAGATTTCATCCCAAAAACCTACCACACAGGCAAATATGTGCCCTACAAACTGTTCCTTTTAAAAAATATATTTCTTACGTGGACCCATCTTTATCAAAAAGAGTAATATTTTCCTAAATTTAACTGTTTGGGTACTATTTGTTTAATTAAATATAAAAGGCATTTTATTCCTATATTTCTTCAAACTGGATTGATATTTAAAAAAATTAAAGTAATATAATTTTTGAGAAATATATTTGTCAAATGCGTATATAGATTTGTGAAGTCTTAATTAGGGTATAAAATAAGTAAATTTATCCCCCCAAAATTTATTCTAATTATGCATGTTGATAGTAATGAACCTAGCTATTTTTTTTGGCACAATAATAAATACCTAGCTATAAAAAGATCAATTAAGAGAAAATGTCAATAAAAAATGATATACGTGTCTTATTGAACCTATTATGTGGCTTCATTATTAAAGGAGTATTTTCTCCCTAGATATTCTAGGTTAGAAGAGTTACGTTTGTAATTGGATGTGTACATTATCAATAGTTAAAAATGATTCTTAACATATATTACTTTATAATCACTTTAGACTTTAAAATTCAACCAGCTCCTGTATCTTACACATAAATTCAAGCATCAAAAGAATTCCATAATTACCAAAAACTATTTACTCATAAGTAATAATATGTCCTACTATTATATTCCCTTGTTTTTCCTTTGATACTTGGCTATCCGCTTAATAATTTGGTTTCAATGTGCATTTAGTGAAAGCCGTGCAAGTATTGGCGCACGATGAACAAAATGAGAAAAAGCATAATCTCCGGGAGTAAGAATGTATGTAGCGTTTACTAGTTGACCAGACCAGGCGCTGCGTTTCCAAAGAGCTCTCCTTCTATTTACTATATACAAAACAAACAATTACTAAGCAATCTTGTGAAGACGACTTCCTTTTTTGTTTGAAAGCAAATGGAAGGAGGAGAAAGAGGAGTCCCTAATTATGCGCTGCAAGTCTCGTTCTCCACCACTCCACAAGCGATCCATGAAACTGGGTTTATACAATTTGAAGAGAACCAAGTTATGGGTTTCATGGCTCCCTCTCTGTCTTCTCATCAAATTATATCTCAGCCTCTCAGTACTTCCCCTTTTAGTAATACCACCAATTCCCCCACCGCCATCAGATTCACCCATAACGACCAGGTATATATATATATACATAGCTAGGCTCAATGAAAATTGGGTTTTACCAAACACAACCCTTTGTCTTCTTCCCTAAGCTGAATACAGTCTTTTTTTTTTTCATGTTTCAGTAGTATATGTGGATTTTGTCTACTTTTCTGTTTCTGTATGATTTTTCTTGGAATTCGGGGTGTTAGACTTCTGGTCTTATATATGTATGTTGTTGGTGTGGGAAAATGTTTTAGGTAGGGACCTTAGATCCCCTTCCCAAAGCTGTACACGACGCCAGTAACGCCAAGGATGCAAATAATAACTCATGGTATTCTGATTTCTTATCTCTTTTCTCTTCTCTTTATGGGTCATCTTCTCTTTCAAGTATCAACGCACTGAAATAGTTTCTCAACAAAACTACATGCATATTAGCCTAGATGTTACAATCCTTTAAGATCTTCCCCGAATCTAGATCGATCTGCCCTAGCTTCTAATGGGATGCTTTCTGTACACAATATGAACAAGACAAGTAGCAGTTTGATTTTGATATGAAAGTCGCATTGATGCCCGAATCAAATAGATAGTGGCTCTTATAAAGCAGCTTTGGGGTTTTGGCAGGTGGAGGAGCTCAGCCTTGGAGAAGAACAAAGTGAAGGTTAGGAGAAAGCTTAGAGAACCAAGGTTTTGTTTCCAGACGAGAAGCGACGTGGATGTGCTAGACGACGGCTACAAGTGGAGAAAATACGGGCAGAAGGTTGTCAAGAACAGCCTTCATCCAAGGTATATACCTGCTTTTTTTAATGCTTTCCTTGTCACTTTTACATGCTTCATAAATTCCCTCTTCAGAAACCATGAGAATGTTCAGATTACAGTACAGGGTTATTGCTAAGCATTCCAATGGGTTTGATCAAACGATAACTTTAAACTTACGGGTTGCTAAGTGTTTATCATTGCTCTGTCAACGGCATTCGAATGAGGGGACGAATGAGTTCGCTTAAACATTTATGTGAAATGATCCTATAAAATCAAACAAAGAAATCAAAGAACAAATGGACATGCATGGGTTTCTGACAGTTTTTGCATCATGACTTATAGCAGCCTGTGAAGTATGAAGAAGCTGTTTAAAATAGATGCATGTTAAAGAAAAGCTGACTACTGCTGCATGCGCACTTGTTTGTTCCATCACTCAATCATATATTTTCATTTCAAAATGTGGTTATAGCCTTGTATTCACATATGTCTTGTTTGGTGCAGAAGCTATTATCGATGCACGCACAACAACTGTAGAGTGAAGAAGAGAGTTGAACGATTGTCTGAGGATTGTAGAATGGTGATCACAACCTATGAAGGTAGACACAACCACTCTCCATCTGATGACTCTAATTCATCTGAGAATGAAGCCTTTACTTCTTTCTAATTAGGGTTTACAATATCATGAATATATATGATGTATTATATCTTTTGACATATACATACATACATATGTATGTATGTATATATGGTAGTTATTTTTATGATGAATATACAGTTGCAGAATGGATGGTCATTATCTTATGCATCCGGCGTTTCTTACACTAGATTGTGCATGCAGCATATATTTCATCAGAGAAAAGACAATCATAAGTATACCATTGCTAAAACCTGTAAAATAAAACAAAAATGAATCCAAGTCATGTCTTGTTATAAAATAATGTTCACATTTTATATGTTAGACGAAAATAACATTTAATCTTATCTAGATAATTGGGTAACTCCAATTACATTTTATGCTGTTTGGATGTTTTTCACATTGGCTTTTTAGGTTTTACTTCATTTTATGTCTATTTTAATGATTATATTTTATTGAAAATTTTGGTTAATCATATGATGTCAAATTATATTTTTGGATTTAGAAATTCAAAATATTATATATTGTGGTTATGGATACACACTTTCAAATTTATGATAAGAGATGGATGTACGTTATAGGTGGAAGGAACAATTGTATCTCCTAACTTTGATGGTCTAATTACATTTTAGGTCATTGGTAGTTTTGATCACTATTATAATTAAATTCTTGTCCTTCCCAAAATTTTTGGTATAATTATTTTTTAGGAATTTTAGTTTTAAAATTAATCGAATTAAACCTTTACCTAAAATTTATATGTCTTAATTACTTTCTAAGAACTTTGGATTTTAAATAAAATGAAAGTAAACCCTGTCTCTTAATTTTATGGTTTAATTATTTTTAGGATCCCATTTATTTTAAAATTAAATAATTAGCCCCCTCATGATTCAATCTTGGCTCCATCCCTGTTTATGATCTGAATCTGTAATATTCATGTTGATGATGGCGACAATTTATATATCTATATTTGATTTTGGATTACAAAATAAATAAAAATTATATTTGAGAAGATTTGATGGTCAAATTTTAGTAGACTCGTATTCAGAGATTAATGTTAATTTGGATATTCTACGTATGATTAAAAATCAGATTTAAATTTTATATAGATTCAAATATTTAATCTATAATAATATTTAATTTAAATAATAATATTATCTTTAAAAAAAATAAAGTAATCTAGAGTTAAAAACAAATATAAATTTATAAACAAATTTATAAATTCAGATTTAGATAATTCAAAAATTAGAAGTATCCAACCCTTGATCATTCCTAATTAATCATTCTCACAAAATTTCCTTTTTATTTCTTGATACCTTGAAAAACTACACGATTTAGTAACAGCAACTAGTTACCCCAATTCTTGACATTAATTACCATAGTTATCCAAACAAAATACATATTGTAACTTCAGGAATGTGTGTAATTATTTATAAAAAAATAAAATTATTTTATAATTATGGTTTAATTATTATATATATATATATAATTTTTTAACATAAATTTATTTTTGAGTTTATTCAAATTAAAATCTAAAAAAAAACTATAATTACCATTTTGGCATCCTTTTATATATTGTTCCTTTTTGTTTCTGAACTTCCAAATAACGATTAGTTCCAAATAATTAACATAACATATAAATATTTTTATACTCTATGATATCAAAACACATTCTATATTAAAGTTAATTTATTAAAAATTACTGAATCATAATATAAAAGAAAATTAGTTATGTAGCTGGCTTTGGGGACAAAAACTTTATTGGGCTCACAAAATCCCAGATGTTCATGGATCAAATTCCAGTTCTGAGTCTACTTTAACTTGAAGCTAGCCCAACATCATTACTTTTGTACATCTTTCTCCCTGCAGGCACAAGACGCAACAACGGCTTCCAAATTTCTACAGCTTTATGGTAAACTTCGGCTACTCACCAATTAGATGGAGTAGAGATACATGTACTAAGGTTGAGTAAATTCACCCTCGATCCCTAAAGAATGCAGAAATAGTTCCACTAAAACGTCCAGAATCTTCCACAAGAAATTTATACGGATAAATCCTGCTCTCACCGACAACACGAGAGAATGAAGGAGGATCCATGAACATCTTCAAGGATAGTCTAGTCCGCCCAATCACTCCCATCTTCAAGGATGATGATCGCCTGTCTGACCGGGGTCTCTGGGATAACAATAGAATCAAGTAGCTTATCCTTATCGTCGACCATCGTTCCTAGTGACATCTCTACCAACTTGTCTGTAACCCCATAGGGCCACAAGTCTCTACAATCGTTAATGTTCAGAGGAAACTCTACACTAAAAATATCACTCTCAATCATGAACCCATATGACTTTTCTTCCCAATACAATATTTGAACACATTCCTGGAATAAATTACCTTCAAAATGTTCAACCTCCCATGTTCCTTTACCTTTGCTTTTTCCCCTTTTCTAGTACTGGACAGAGGGCCACAACCACTTTTCAGGTATGTTCAATCGGAGAGGAAAGTCGAATCTTTCAGGTAACTTTTCAACCACTTAATAAACATAGAATGATTCAAGTTCAGCCTTCGCTTACTGGTCCAACCAGCAATGGACTCCCCAACCATAAATTTCTTCTCACGCCTTTGCAGCAAACATGTAAGTATTGTATAAAACTGTTGAGCTACGCTACCAAGGGTGAAAAGATTTTGCAATATAGCCACCGAAGGAAGCTACTTGAATGATCGGAGACAAAGACACCAACCTACCACCTTTCAAGAATATTTCAACATACGTGAAATTGCATTGAGAGATGTTTTAGTATTACAAATGAAATAAGCAATTTTAAGAGAAAAATCAATTTATCTAGTAAAAATACAATGTCGAATAATTTATTCTTGTTGTTTTCTACAAAATTTCATTAAATCTGAGATGCCAATTGATTCTATTAAATCTAACTATACTGAATATAGTAGTCAAGCTGAAAATATTGTTAGTGAGATAAAAATGATAAGGCATTGTAAGTCAAACACGGCTTGAATTGAGTGGTGAGATAAGTTAGCACAACATATTTGCTAGTTGGTTGGCCTCACATAATTTAGGATAGATTTTTTTACATTATATATAAACTTTCAGCTCGTATCTGATTTAATGTCAGTAGTTGTTAATTTCATGTATTTTACTTCTTTATATTTTATGTTATTAAATTCATTAAATTTTATGTATTTATTTAAAAAATTAAATTACCATTGTTATTGACATGCATTACATATTATATCATTCACTACAATTTAATTTAATATATTTTTATTATTTTAAATTTCATTTATGATTATTATTGATATTGATGACATATTTTATGTTGTGTTATACATTTTTATGTATATATTAACTTAGATTGTTTGAAAGTGCAACATGTCAACATTAAGTACATAGTCTCAAAGTGAGAAAAAATGAACAGCTGTAAGGATTAACTCTATAGTTACTGAAAGGATGTGAACTAAATAAGAGGATGTTGCACGTGTTGAATTACACATATTAGCAGAAGAGCCACATTGGAAAGTGGAACTGTTAAAGCATATTATCTATTTTATCTTGAGAAAATGTAGTTTAACGCCTTAATTTCTGAGTTAGTAGTTTCGGATTAATTCGAGTTATGGGTAAGACCAAGAGTCCATCAGAAAGCCTTGGGGTCAAAGTTAGAATTAGTTTTTGCTTGAGTTGAAACCAAATGAGTATAAAAAGGGTATTTTTAACTTGAGGTCACAATAGGAGGGACTTAGGGGTAATTGGCCCTTTTATTGGTACAAAGGTTGGTTCTCCATCAATGAGATTATGTCGCACGTTGGCAAGGCTCCATTCCAAAGGAGTAGAAAATTTTCCACATTCCAAAAGTTGATTCTGTTCAGACTTTTTTTAATAAATTCCAATTGCTTGCTTTTGTTTTTATAAAGCACGAAGCGTGCTGTTTGTTATCTTTTAAATAATTTTCTTTATTAAATCATATTCTTTATTTTAAATTGCATGTTTTTTTTTTGAATAATTGATCTTTTCATTAATATGATATTATAGAATTTCGGATTCAAATCTTATCACTACTGATTGGGTTCCATTAATGAGATTTTAACATTTTCATTAATATGAAAATGCAATGGGATAAAAACATATTTGCAAGTTTTTATTCTTATATATTTTCAAGAAAATTATGTGTTAAAAAATAAAAAGGTAAACTAATTAGAATAAAATTAAATAAGAATTTTGTCTAATTTATGTTGTACAATATCAATAAAAGAGTTAACATAATTTGTGTATATATAAGTATATATATACAAAGGTTAATTTTATATCCTTATAAAATCTTAAATCAGTGAAAATAGACGATTAAAATTATCTTTTTATTTATTTCTATAAATATTTTCTCATTTTATAATTTATATTTGAGTTTATATCTAATTTTTTAATAATATTATTTTTAATGTTTAAACTTAAATTCTCGTGTATTTAATGCATTTCAGGATTTGTTTTCTTTTTCTCTCTTTTTTTCACAATCACTGTTAGTCTCTTTTCTTCTTCTTCTTTGTGATCGGTACCAGTCTTGGTACTGCTTGCTGACCACCGATATTCATTATTATTTTTTGTTTTATTATGGCATATCTTTGTTTTTTTTCTTTTTTTATTCTTAATAATTTTAATTTTATGACACGTTTTTCTCTGTCTCTATGACAAGTTTTCGGTTGTTTGGTTATTGTTTTCGTTTATTTTTTAACATGTTTGGATTTGACATCGCCACAACTGATCAAGATGGTGTTTATTTGTTATCGTGAAGATATTTCCTGCTTTTGGACCATTGGATTGAATTTGGATATGTGATTTGAGTTTGTTGATAGTATCTCACATTGCTCGATTATGATTTGCGGTATGTCAGTGTTCTTTCAATAGCTTTATTTCTTTTTGTGGTTCGTTTACCGATACAGTCAGATCTATTCATATTTATCTCTTGTTTGAGTTTATTTGGTTGGATTTTTTAACCTTTTCTTTGTATGTGATGTTAAGTAGCTAAATTTAGGAAAATATTCTTATTATATGTTTAATCTACAAATGTACAGGTGTGGTTATAAACCTTCATTGTAATTTTGAATATTTTCTATTTTTAATAACATTAAAGGTTATTAAACTCAAACACGCCTTAATTTTTTTTAATAGTAAAACATAATTTTATATTTTAAATAAAATTTATAATTAAAATAAAATATTATTAATAGAACTTTCTAAATAATTTTAAACGTAGGTGTATAGATACCATATGGATCCTTTGACCTGGTTTGGTCCCTAAAAGAAAAAAACAACAAATTGTTAGTTCAAATTTTTTTGGTTAAAAATTAGTTCAATTTTATATGCTAATAAATTTTATAATAAGAAGCACGTGTTGGAATAATCTATTATGTTATTGACATATTGTAAATAAAGATTGAAAATTTGCAGAAAAACCCAGATAAAGTGCCGGACAACCCTTCTCCAACCATATATAAACTTTTACCAGCTTTAGGTTCTGTTCTTCATTGGTTTCCTATTAAACAAACCACTAGCTTGTTTAATTCCCTTGGTTTCTTTCGGTTGAAGAAAGATATGTCGGCTGATCAGCCTGAGAGTAGTTCAGTATCCGAAGATCTTTCCCTCTTGGACTCCATTAACCACCGTATTCTTGCCGGTGATTTTGAACCTTCTTTCTCTTCTTTAGACGAGGTTGTTTTTTGACTGGCCGTCTTTGCATGGCGGGACTACTTCCAGTTTTACCAACCTTCTCCTCAAGAATTCCAATCTACCGTTAAATCTCGACAACGACTTTAGCGTTGCATGTCCTCCGCCTGGAAAAGTGGAGGAGCCGCCGCAGGAGGTGAGTCGAGTGGAGGCTGAGAGTGGAAAAAGGGTGCAATATAGGGGAGTGAGGAGGAGACCGTGGGGAAAGTACGCGGCGGAGATACGGGATCCGGAGAAGAATAGGTTGAGGGTTTGGCTAGGGACTTACAAAACGCCTGAAGATGCGGCTTTGGCTTATGATAAAGCGGCTTTCAAGATCCGTGGCTCAAAAGCTAAGCTCAATTTCCCTCACTTGATCGGCTCAAGTAACATAGCACCTGTTAGAGTGGGTCCAAGGCGTCGCTCACCTCCGCTGCCATCGTCGTCTTCGTCGTTTTCCAATGTGGATAGCAGCAGCTCCACGATGCCGATGCCAAGAAATAGGAAACCAATTAACTGATGGCTGATGTAAATCCAATATGGCGTTATATCGTTGCATTTCATCTGCTTTCACTTTTCATTTTCTGCAGGCCCCCGCCTGCTAATTCCTGCTATTTCTTATCCATACAAAAAAGGGTTACTGATTCACGTATCTTTCCTACCCATCATGTTTTGACCACCTTAAATCTTAAAACTATTTGTAATATTGTAGTAAATGTAATTTTATTATCATTTCAAATACAATGGGTGCAGCTTTTATAGTATAAACAACGTCCTATATAGCGTATCAAATTAAAAAGGTAATACTGTTGTTGTTTTTTTTTAGATTTGGAATTCAGTAGTTGTGTGCGCAAGAAATGTATGCGTTATCAATTAATTAAAAATATTATCAATAAATATTACCTTATAATGACCCTAGACTATTTAAAAATAAAATAATTTCCTATTGTTAGTTAACATAATTGTCGTAATAAAAGAAAACGGAACAATCCCAACGTAGTTGTTTTGTTGTAGTGGGAAAAACTTAACAATTAGTTGATCTAATAAGATGAGATATAAGATATTTTAAGTAAAGTCAATGTTCGAATCTTGATATTGTCGATAGAACAAATTAAATTGAAAAGATCAATCTTATAATAAATAGTATATTCGATCTATTAATTAATCATCGGATTAAATACATATATTATACTAAGAAAAAGAAAACATATTTATTACCAACTATTTTCATAAGTTGGGTCTAAATTCAATCTATTTTTGTGATTTGAAAACTCTTTGAACGCCGAAGCCCATGTCTAAACTAACTGAACATGTTTTGGACATGCAGTCCATACCATGCAATACATATGGGAATGGTCAAAGACAGGTGGCAGCCCTCTTTACTATTTATTGGGAAAATTTACATTATGTTGTCTATGTTATTAATTTATCATACAAATGTCAATCGAAGATTAATTTATATTATATCAATGACATGTTGTATTAATAAAAAGAATAAAATTTTGATCAGAATATTAGTTTAATATTTTTATATTTTTAATTATATATATTTTTAAAATAAAAATACATTAAATTTTTCTATAAAATTTTATTTTTTATTAATTCAAATAAGTATATTATTTTTTCTAAATTTTTTATAAAAGTACATAAAATGATAAAAATGTTCTATATAATGGTTTTGTTAAAATTTCACCCAAACTGATTTGACATAAATGAGTGAAGATATAAAATTAAGAGATAAGTAAAGAAAGTAAGAACCCTAGTTTGATTGGAAGCAAAGATTATTTTCTTTTATATTGATTAATAGTAGAAAAGCTAGTTTAAGTAGATTTCTACTAAACCAGTTACATTTGTAATCAAGTTATTATCCATGTAAATAGATATATACTAAGGATTAAGGTTAAAATTTAAGTTCTTTCTGTAAATCTACTTGTACTCTTCTACTTTCGACATTAATGAAAATTCTTATGTTCATGGTTTTTGTTGAAAGAATTTTCTACATAAATCTTGATGTTTTTTATTTTTGCGATTTGTTTATATTCGTTATTAATAGATTCTCGTTATGACGTGAAGATTCATGATGCTCTTGCATAAATGGACTTAGACGAGGCATTGGAATATATTGATAAGATGTTGTCATCCTGACCACTTAATGAGAAACAACTTAAGGATTGAAAACTTATTTATCAAATTCTTTTACATTTATCAAATCAAATTTTACAGACGTGTTGAAAGAAAAGATAATTGCTTCATTATGGGCAAAATTTGAGCAATTATGCACGATGAAAACACTAATTTGTATGTTGCATCTGAAGCAACATCTTTATTCACATAAGTTAACACAAGACTCGTCTCTTGAAGATCATCTAATTGTCTTTAAGGAAATTGTCTCAGTAGAGGCCATAGAGGTAAAGTACAACAAAAAAATTTAGGGTTTGATTCTACTGTGGTTTTTGCCTCTTTCTTATTCGTCTTTCAAAGATATCATTGTATAAAACACTCATATAATAAAATGAAGCACCTTGTAACTGAATCTAAGCATCAAGAAAAGGGTTTCGTTACTTGAATAATGATCGACAGTAATTTAGAGACGAAAAGAAATTAAATTTTGGTAGTAGAAATAAGGGCATGTTAAAAAAAATAGAGATAAAACTTATAATTTTGCAATAAAAATGGGCATATTAAATCTCAGTGCGAGTGAACTCTCAGTTGCTTCTATTGACAAACACAAAGCAAGTGAACAATGGATCATCGATTATGGTTGCACTTTTCATATGTATCCCAACTGGAACTGGTTTGCAACATATGAAATAGTTTCCAAATGTGATGTTTTGATGAGAAATAAGGCTTCCAAATTCCAATAGAATTATTGGTATTAGAAAATTCAGGATTAAGATGCATGATGATATCGTCAGAACACTTGGTGATGTAGGACACGTTCTAGACTTAAAAAGAAATATTGTCCTGTCAAGTACACTTGATTTAAATGGGTACAAGTACACTAGTAAAGGTGAAGTAATGAAGATTAGAAAACAATCCTTTTTAGTGATGAAAGGGTAGAAAAAGATTGTCAAGTTATATGCTTTATAAGGTTTAATAGTTACAAGTGTGCAGTTGTTGCTTCCTTTTCCTTAGATGGCAATATCATTAGGCTTTGACATATGAGTGAAAACGTGGCTGAATTAAGTAGAAGATGATTTCTTAATGTGCATGACATTAGTAAATTACAGTTATGTGAAAGCTACATTTTTAGGAAACAAAATAACGTTAAAGTCAGCAAAGGAATTCATACCATCAAGAGAAACTAGATTATATACACTTTGATCTTTGAGATTGTCTAGAATATCTTTCAGGGGAGGCGCTTATTACACGTTTACGATTATTCATTATTTTTTCAAAATTGTTTGATTGTTCTTCTTGAAGTAGAGAAGCGATATGTTGTCCATGTTTAAAGATTGAAAGACTGCAATCGAAAAGCACACACACAAAAAAGTTAAAATTCCTCTGCACATATAATAGACTGGAAGTTTGTTCTGATAAGTTTACTGAATTGTGTAAAACAGAAAAAATGGCTAGACATTTGATAATTTGTGGAACTCTCCAGGCTAAGGGGGGGGAAACCCCATGCCATCTACCCAAGGAGTTTGGTTAAAGACTAGTTATGAGAGTTATTCATTAGGCTTAGCCTATTGTTAGAAATGAGCTAAGCTGGTTATTAAATAGCCCACACTTAAATGCCCCAAACGAGAAAATGGAATTTTGGTCGACCTAACACGCCTTTGTTCGGACAGCGCGTATGTCTACGGCTCTATGCAATGGAGGTTCGGATGATAACTTCACTATATCGCCAATATTACAACAAATGAAATTCTTTAAATTCTTAAAGTGGGAGAATGAAGAATACAAGAGGAAGAGACAACTTGTTTTTGGAATAATTTCTAACGGAAATACTTAGGCCTATTTATAGTTGAGTTTCAAGAACAATATGTTTAAAGTTGGCCACCTACCAAAGAATTTTCCAATGTATACAAGTTAACCACCAAATATAAAATTTACATGTTCAAAATTTGACCACCAACCAAGATGAAACTTCTAATAAGTTGGCCACCAAGATGTCTCGTAATTTTTTAGTTGTGACTACCGACTAGTATTAGATAAGACGGGTAGTTGGCACATGTGTCTGGTCAAACTGGTAAAATCCAAAAGATAAATTCTTGTTTCTTCTTCTAGTGTTGTTATTAATCATATACTCCACTTTCAATCTCAAACACAAAACCCAGAATTTCCAGCTCCTTCCAAACTCCCAAGAAGCATATACTTGTGAAACACAGATGGTGCTCCCCTAATCCTCTGATTAAGGGAGCAATTTTGTTTCATTTATTTTACCAACAATGGTCATTTATTTTACCAACAATGGCATCTGTTTCGCAGTCAACTAACTTTCCCATCATCATTATCATCTTCTTCTTTACAACAATTCTCATCCCAACCACAAACGCCGCTCCTTTCATCGTCTTGCACGGTAATGTTTCCATTCACAGCCTGCTTTCTTTGCTCCATTAAGTTTACAGTAGCTTCTTTTTATTAACTTTTCAAAAATGACTGAAGAATAGCTTAAGTTAATACTAATTTTATGTGTAATTATAGCACAACCAGTTTTTGTTAAACAAAACCGAATCTGACAGATTTTCTTGGGAGCTTGGGTCTATAAACAAAATATGCATATATTCATAGTCTGAAGCAGGGATTTATATTGGGGTTGGGGTTGCGTTGCCTTTATCTCGATTGCGGCAATACGGGGTGCTATTGCCGTCAACGCGGTTATAGCGACCATGCAATAACGGTTTTGGACGGTACCTTTACCGCTATATAACGACCGCTATTCCTATAGCGGACCGCTAGCTAAATCTCTGGTATGAAGACATAATAGACTTATGTTATTCACTACTGGCACGTTCTGTTGTAGGCATTAGTGATAAATGCAGTAACCGTGGCGTGACTCAATTCACTGAGCTTCTAAGCAGCTGGTCTAATTCTCAAGGATACTGTGTGTATGATCTTTCATGTTTCTTTAATATTCTCTTTTCATTTTTATTTCTCAACGACTTCTAATGTAAAAATTTTCAGAAGTTCAATTTATGTGTATACACTATTTTGGTCTCAAAGCCTTTTTACTGTACAGTTTATAGTGACAGTGGGACTCTCATCGTATTTTGCTGTATGTTCATGACACTTTTCTGCATAAATGTGTGCATTTGTTTCCAAGTTTGTATGAATTCTTGTATCTATAGTGCGAAACTAATAGTTGAACATTTTTCATGACTAGGGAAATTGGAGATGGTTCATGGGATTCATGGACTATGCCCCTTCTGGAACAGGTAAAAACATTCAAACTTTGTTTGCGATTTCTCATCGCCTGTAGTCCCTGTAATGATCACATAACTAGAACCAGTTGTATTTTTTTTTCTTGCAGACATCAATTGCGTGTCAAAAGGTCGTAAAACAATTTGGTAACATTTATCACTCTGATGTTTTGTGGCTGAAGTTCCAACTTCTGAATTAATCTTTATTCAAACTTACAGGTGAAAAACACGACTGAACTTAGCCAAGGTTACAACATAATTGGACTCTCTCAGGTAATTAATATTTTGTTAATTTTCTTCTGTATTTAATTTACAATTGTTCTCCTATGCATGTACCGTTCCCAAAAATGTCCATTCATGCACTCACAATCACAAATTTCTTTACAGTATGCATTAACATTTTATATGAACCAAGGAGCAAAAAGAAAAGAACAGCACTTTCATATGAATATTTCTTTCACACAGGGCAGCTTGATTGGTCGAGGGATTATCGAATTTTGTGATGGACCCCCTGTAAGAGCTTCTCACAACATCTCTTTAGTTTTTACTTTTCAGTTTACCAAAATGTAGTATTATATGTTCCCATAGCTAATGGGAAGTTGTAAAGTGCATGCTACTGATTCAGATGGCCACAGGGTGCCCCTTCTCGGACATATGTGCTAATAAATCCTCATCATCTTCCGAACTTCTCCATCTGTATTACTGTGTTTTCTTATAATTTTTCTTTTGTGCATTCCTTTACACCTCCCTTTTTTTCTCTCTCTCGCTCTGTTGCTGGTTACTTTTGTCTTCAAGCTGAAGTCTAACATTGTGTCTTATTTGTACGCTTTATGTGATTCAGGTCAAGAATTTCATAACATTGGCAGGGCCTCATGCTGGTATTGCTTCAATTCCATTTTGTGGTGTGAGTACTTGTTACAAGCAATTTTTGTTTTCATATTTTTCAAATATGTATGATTTCCTTATGGTCCGTGTCTGACGTTGAGAAGGAGAAAGTGATAGTATCCTTCTCGTTTACTAGTAATGGTACAGCTAATGAAAAAACTAAAAGAACTTTCATCGGTCAAAAAAGCATGCCTAGGAGCACTAGATTGTGCTTTTCCCAAAAGGGTCTAAAGTGATTTTGTTGTATGTCAATAAGGCACAACACATTAACAACATTGATTCTTTAAGACTATTATTGCAATCTGGTCTGATGTGCCCTTTATTTGGCAGTCTACTGCGATATGCATGCTTCTGGCAAGCTTAATCAAGTTGGAAATTTACAGTAACTATGTGCAGGTATAAGATTATTTTCGAACTGTTTCCAGTAAATAGTTAGCAAGTTTATTGAGAGGGGAAGAAACAGCTAAACAAAAATGGTGGTTCCATCTCATTACGGATCTTTCACATCTGAAAACTCTCCTTATGGATATTTCTTATTTGCAGGAACACTTAGCGCCCGGTGGTTATCTTAAAATCCCAACAGTGAGTATTGTTCCTAACTTTGGCTTTATATTGTTGGTTCTTGCCAACTATCATGCCGTGTCGTTAATATACATGGAACTCTGTGCTTGATTGCAGCATTACAAGTTTCAGCTTTTTGTTGACTTATTGTTTCTTTATAATTTCTCTTCCTTTGTCCTATCCGAGTTAAATCTATTATGTTCTCATCATTCTCCCTTTTGAATGTAGAAGGCGTGTAGATTTACGCTTGTATAACTTTCTGGTGTTAATAGCTACTTTGTTTTTCTTCTATTTCACCAGGACATAACTGACTACCTCCAAGGATGTAGATTCCTCCCAAAACTAAACAACGAAATCAATGGCATGAGAAATTCTACTTACAAGGAACGGTTTGCCAGTTTACAGAATCTGGTGCTTATAATGGTAACTGGTCCTTTCAGCCTACATTTGGAGGAGAAATCTGTAAACTTTTTACGCCATTCGCCATTTTACTATCGCACTAACAACGTTCTTCATATGTTTTGGATCAGTTTGAGGATGATACAGTTTTGGTACCAAAGGAAACGTCCTGGTTTGGTTATTATCCTGATGGGCTTCGATCCTATATTGCCTGCACAAGAGGTAATGTACCTGTTTTATGATGAAATCTTAGTTTTTCCATGTAACTAAGAGGTAATAATACCTGTTTTATTATCCTGACGGGGCCTTCGATCCTATATTGCCTGCACAAGAGGTAATGTACCTGTTTTATGGTGAAATCTTAGTTTTTCCATATAACTAAGAGGTAATAATACCTGTTTTATTATCCTGACGGGGCCTTAGATCCTATATTGCCTGCACAAGACCTGCTTTATGGTGAAATATAATTTTTCCATGTAACCAGAATCTTTCTTTTGAGGATGAAAATAACAACTAAGAGTTTTCATTGCTCTGCAGACCAAGCTTTACAAGGACGACTGGATTGGTTTGAAAACATTAGATGAAGGTGGAAAAGTTAAATTCGTAAATGTTTCGGGATCACATCTGAAAATCTCCAAGAGGGACATGAAGAAGTACATTGTGCCTTACTTGGGGGACCAAGCATCTGCAGAATCTTCATCTTATGGATGGCTTTCCACACTCTGGTACTATTTAACTGAACACGTAATTGACCTGAATGAAGATCAACCTTTGCTGCTCATCACGTATTAAACCAATTGCTATTATTTTCTTATTATATTCTCAAACACCCTTGCATTCTTTGATGTTCGAACCTGAAAACCTCTAAAGATAATAATCATCACTTTAATCACTGAGGGAGCTTGGTTCGTGCTTATATAATTTTTAATATTTAAATATGTTAGCTTCTTGGATAAACTTAAATATAATTCATTAACTAACCTTAAATATTTTCTAAAATAAAATAGTTTAAGATGTTAACGGCTTGTGGTTTGATTGACAACATTTAAATAGTAAAGTGATTTAATTGATAAAATTGAAAAATCAATGATCAAAATAAAATCTTCATAATTAAATGATTATGGGTGTAATTTATCCTTATTTTTTAAATAAGAGCCGACTCTATTTTGTTATCTTGCTTGTATTGTGGCTATGGTGGCAGTAAGGTTCATGTAGGTTAGATTAGATGGTAAGGAAATGAAAATATAAGTGGTTAAGTGAATGCAGCGGGTGACACTGGGATTCTAATCTAAGATGGGACAAGGATATTAATTGTATATCTTTTATGTCATGTTAAATTTACTTATTTGATTCTAAACTAACAATTTAATGACTCAAATTGGTCCTTCAAATTTTATGAACGAATACCTAAAATAACAGTCATCTAACCACAATGCATTGCTATGTTAAGTCAATATAGAAAAATATTATATCAAAATTCAAGAAATATTCTAGTAATTATTGTTATTCATGGTAGGCCAAAGCTTCCTTCTGTTTCATTTGGCTATGTCTTTGGCTCTTGTTCTCTTCTTCTTCTTCTTTGGGAGTTTTGTTTCTGCTCATTAGGCTTTTGTTTCAGCCTCTCTGTTGAGTTCTATTGGCATAGCTATGTAATATGGTCTATGAATATTATTGTTATTGGTCACTCTTTTCCCTTGCTGTCTTGTTCGAGTTTAGGTTCATACAAGTTTAAGAGCGAATTTAAAAATAATTTTTGAAGTAAGCACATTAATAATGTAACATTTTTTTCAAATCTGTAGGGCATTGTTTTATTTAGCTTTCCGATTATTAAAAATTACAAAATAATCATTTAACTATAGGATGTTATTTTGTAAGTTCTTCGACTATTAAAAGTTATAAAACGGTCACCATCTATTCATATGTTCTAAACTCGTCATTTTTCTTTAATATATTTACAGCTGTCTGAGCTGGACAATAACTTGTTGATTGAGATATGATAAAATCTGATTTTAGAACCATATGAGCTGTGTTTTATGGATCAACTCTCCATTTACTTTATATTGCCGAGCTAGTGCTTGAAAGATTATATTGTCGAGCCAGTAGTTGAAAGCAACGGTGGTGCCGGTATACAACGATGTCCTACAATTGAGAGATCATTTTGTAACTTTAAATAGTCAGATGACTTAATAAAACATCACCCTATAGTAGGGTCAAAGACCATTTGTATACTTTACCCTAATAAATGTGTGAAAAATTAAATTTTAGGGGTGACATTTACACATCCTAATAATGTATCGATCTATGCCTGATCTTGTGTTATATGTTTATTATTATTATTAGGGTAAAGTATATAAATGGCCATTGAATTTTTCAGATGCTTGCATTTAGGTCTCTTAACTTTTAAAATTTACAATACAGTCACCAAACATTTAGTTCGTTTGCAATATGGTCCTTGACGTAGCGGGTGTTTCACTGCCGTTAGGGTAAATTATATAAATGGTCATTGAACTTTTTAGACACTTGCATTTAGGTCCCCCAACTTTTAAAACTTGCAACACAATCATCAATTACATTTTAAACCCCAAATTCTAAAATGCTTCAATTGCATTTTAAACCTCAAAATTTGAAAATACTTTAGTTACATAAACCCTAAATTCATAATCCATTCTCAAATCTGCCATAACAAACTAAACTTAAAGTAGTAACCCTAAACCCTTAAAACATAACCCTAAATGTTAAATTTCTCCACCAGTTAACCTAACATAATCAACAACATTTAGTTTATTTTGGGTCCATAACAATAAGTGGTTATGTTGGGTTTAGGATTTAAAAGTTAGATTTAACCAACTATAAGTGAACAATACTCAATTCAATTCGAAAAAATTATTTTTCGACTTTAATTGATTCAAAAAATTTGATACAAATTGACTTTGCGTTATAATTTCATAAACTCAACTTTAAAAAAAATTTCTAGTTAAAATCAAGTTGTAAAATACAACTCGAATATCTCAAAATTTTTAGTAATTAAAGGATTAATTTTTATGTTTGAGTTAAGTCCCTTGACTCTGTATGTTATATGTATATCACATATGAAAAATATATGAAGAAATATATGTATTGTATATTGTTAAAAAAACTATTTAAATTAGAATAAAATAATATTATAGTATTATAAATATTTATAATTAAATTTAAACAAAACTCGAAAATTCAATTCAATTCGACTTGATTTAAATTTTATAAACTCAAATCGAATTTTTTTAGTAAACTATTTTATAAACTAAACTGAATTAGAATCAAATAATATTATAATATGCTAAATATTTATAATTAAATTTAAACAGAAATTCAACAATTCAATTTAATTCGACTTGATTTAAATTTTATAAACTTAAATCGAAAAAATTTGAGTCAACTATTTTATAAACTGAATTGAGTATTTAGGTCCAACATAACCCTAAACCCAATATAATCACTTATTGTTCATTTATGGTTGGTTAACTTTTTTTGAAATGATTATGTTTTGAGAGTTTAGGGTTGATGCTTAAAGTTTAGTTTGTTTTGACATATTTTGAGAATGGATTATGAATTTGGGGTTGGGCAGTAATTGAAGTATTTTGGAATTTGATGTTTAGAATGTAATTGAAACATTTTGGATTTTGGGATTTAGAATGTAATTGGTGATGTGTTGCAAGTTTTAAAAGTTGGGGATCTAAATGCAAGCAGCTGAAAATTTTAGTGACCATTTATATAATTTACCCTAACGACAGTGAACGACCGTTACGTCAGAGACCATATTGCAAACGAACTAAATGTTTGGTGATTGTATTGTACCTTATAAAAGTTTGGGGACCTAAATGCAAGCATCTGAAAAGTTCAGTGACCGTTTATATTGTAACCCCAAACTACGAGTTAGTGGACTAAATTGTAAAATTTCAGAAATTGGGGATAAAGGTATAATAGTTGAATAATTCAATGATTTATGTGAAGATATTTCCTGAAAATTGTTAGTAAATATTAAAAGAGTCAAAGGGCAAATGAGTCATTTAACAAGAAAAAAAATTAAATAATAATTAGTGGGTATTATAATACTCATGTGATGCATGTTTGAAGAGATAAGTTTCTAAACTTATCTTCTTCTTTTCTCCAACGTTAGGCTCCAAGGCAAAGGTGAGTTCCTTTGTTAGTTAATTATTTGTTGATTTTATGGTTGTGTTTTGATCATTAGATGATAATTAAGCTTAAGGAAAGCTTAAGTTGTCTTAAAATCAAAAGATGAAGAAGTTATGAAAGATTAAAGAAAATGGGTTTTAAGTGAATTCTTGGAAAAGAGTTGATAAGTTGAATTTGAATAAATTTGACTTGTCATCAACTTAATTAATAGATATGAAGTGATAGAATTGGATTTAGAGTATCTTGAAAAATTGGTATGATTATTAATTTCCTTAGGAAAGATGAAATTTTGAGATTAAAGATGAGATAAATGGATATAAATGAGTTTAAGCATGTGTATGTGAGTTAAGGATATGAAAGGGGTTAAAATATGACACAATTAAATTAGAAGGAAGTAATTTACGTGCATAAATGGGAATTATGGACTATTGTGCATCGGTACACATTCAACATGTACCGATGCATCAAGAGTAAATTTCCAGAAATTATTCAGTGTGTATCGATGTACATAGGTAGGCATTGATGCATGGAAATTTCGAAGCTATTTTGTGTATCGATGCACCTATAGTGCATCGATACACCCTAAAGGAAAAATGAAATTTGGTTCATTAAATTAGCCTAAATTATTAATACCAAGTTATAAGGTTTAGGCTTTTGATAATTGTCTCGGAAATTATATTTATGTAGATTTTGAGCCTAAACAAGTTTCGGAACAATCAAAGAATTATGATTAAATCAAAGCAAGGCTAAGGTGAGTGCAATTTAAATTGTACTTATGTTATTGTAGGTGTGACATGATTTGTATGAGTACTGATAAGTATTGTAAATGGTATATGTTTTTATATGATATGATAGTATTAATTGTTTATGCATTAATATGAGTAGAGTAATATCATATGTTTTCATGCCTCATTAAGTTAACGACTTAACGTGTGATTATTTTACACGTAGGTTCTGAGAAGAGGAAGATTGATAAAAGTTATGCAAGACATGTCAATTCTCATTTCCAAAGATCACATCAGAAAAGAAATGTATAGTGTGTATTTTGTAATAAGGATAGTGGTTGGCATGTAAGTAACGGTTTAAATCCCGATATATTCTAATCGGTTTGTAAAATCATATGATAGAGTTTTTGCAATGTTTTAAATGTGTATATGTAAATGGAATTTTTATACGAATGAAAACTCGAATTTTTATGAATTCATACGTATTTTGCCGAAGTTACTGTAGTATTACTGTAGTAGTGCATCGATACACAATTGATATTCGAAATTTTCAATGTTCATGGTATTGTTCACGGTAATGTTCGTACCGTATTTTACTGTTCATACAACATATATTTTCTTAAATTGGTTATAACAAACATGATTCAACAATATATTATCTTATTTTCTTAAAAAGAGTTCAAATGTTCTATTATTTTGCAAGAATAAAGGTTTTAAAATGTCAATGTGACATCTCGACTTGTATCCGGGTCGGACATAGGTTGGGGTGTTACATATATACTTTACCCTTATTATTATTTTGGTGTATTCATATATATATATATATAGAAATTAATTTATAGTCAATAATTTTTAGAACGGGTGGTTAGAAACTCTCAGTTGATAGTTGTTCTTTATCTAGATTGTTAGTCCAATACTAAAAAGCAAAATTCCTTGATCCTTTCCC